TAGAATATAGACTATCTAAAAAATCAACATACTCAGGTTTAATATCTGCTTAGTTTAGCCCTCATGCCGATTGATATTTGAGCTGTAGAAAGAGATACAAAATGTATCAACGCTCACTCTATTTTCAAATCCATCATTCGTTCTACCAAAGTAGGTTGCTTTTTTAGACAGAACCTTTTTGTCGTAGTAGATACACAAAGTCTAATAGACTAGACATTACAATAAAATATCTTTGTCACAAGATAGGTGCCTACTTTATATACATTTAACATTTAAAATGTAGTAGAATAGAAGTAGGCCAGTAGGTACAAAATTATTTGAAATATTAAAGAGTTTTCAGATAATGTAGGACACATCCATTATCGAAAAGTTATTACATTGAATATTATCTTTGATTAAGTAACATTTACTTACAATCCTATGGCAATTTTTAACTGAACTTTAACGATAGAACGCCAATCATTTGGCACATTCGTTGAACACTATTATTCGATACTTGTCCAGTATGTCAACGATTACATGGTAATTTTTTCAAATATGCTGGGGTATATACAATGTTAATATATAATACCGTATATAAACAATGAATATATGTTTTAAAATTGGATAAATATCAGAGTTCATTATAAATTGTTTGTTCGGTATATTATGATCAAGTTGGCTGTATACTATTTAAAAGCGAAATTCGCTTGAATTCAGTTCGATTTTATGACGAACTTCTAAGAGCTATTGCAATCGAGTACAAGCAATTTTCGCCTTTAAGGAACTACTTACGACACTTTTCCACATATTTATGGTGAGTAACACAAAGAAGTTCGGATAAATATATTTTATTACAATTTTACCGTAATTCGCCATTTTGTTACAACGCCCCATTAAAAATACATATCTAACAATACATTATAGAAACATTATACAATTGCAGTTATTAAAGGTTCCACCAATAGAAACGTAGTAGGCCGAATAGAGGTATAGAGTTAATATGATTACAAAAATAATTATTATAAAAAAGTGTCAAAAATAATACTGAGCAATCTCACTCTTAGATAAATAACAGAAATTAATCACAGAATCTTGATTTGAGTACAATCAACAGCACTTCCTGTTATAAGTACCTACCGCTAAAGTCTCTCAACCTGATATCCAATTTTATAGTGTCACGCATTAGGTTTAAAATAGATTACAATTACATACTTTGTGGTAATTTATCTAATGTGCTATTGACTGTATCATAATCAATAAAATACAATTAAATAGAATTGCCTGTATAAGTATACCCTCTAACGAACAAAACGCAAGATGAAGACAAACACGGTACAAATAGAAGAATCTTTCAAATAAGTATAGATGAACAGTAACTGTGATCGAAGCACTATGCCGCAACTGGTTCTTGCTAAATGTTGTTAGATCAACAAAAATACAAACACCAAATCTTTTCTCATATGCATAAGCAAAGGAGATGCAAACTTATTATGCTGAATGAAAGTAAAAAAAACATCATCATTATTTACTTTCATTTCATGGCATATTTATGTATTGTTTATAAGTACTAGGTACAGACACAGACAATTCTATAAACGACTTTGTAAATAAAATATTAAATCTAACTAAACCAACATCATGAACTAAGTATTCATCAGTACTACCAATCCAGATCCTTACGTTTCATAACTGCTCAGTGACCTACAAATGTGTTCCAATCAGCATCCTTATTCATAAACCACCGGTTAACTTATGCGACTTGGACGTATTGCTCTATCTTTATCTAATTCTGAATGAGTGAAAGTGACGGCCTATATTATAACACCGGTCGTTTTCGAATAAGGCGCTTCCACCTACGAGTTATCTACTTACAGTGATATGCCACTCCAAGTCACTTATAAATATTAACGAAGGTTTATTAAACCCATTCTAGTTCATATTAATAGCTGTTATAAAATTATATAATGAGCAACCTCATTTGCGTCACAATTTGGCGCCACTGTGACATGAGATCATAAAGATGACGATTTGGCGCGAATTAATCGAACCAGCATTTTTTTTTGTCTGTGGCTTTCTCCGTTTTACACAGAAATTTCACCAATGTCCCGTAGTGAGAGAGACACGAGAAAGACTGCTCGGTAGAAGATTTGACGTCATACGTGATTTGACGGATGAGTAAACCTTTTGGTCTCAGTGCTGCCACCTGGCGCCCGTCAGCTCATAAAAACCTCATTATCACGTACGCATCAAACACTTTTAAAATGTCATTATGACATATACTATAGTGTCTATGCATATATGTTAAAGGGTTCCTATATTTTCTGTAACTTTGATTATATTACTGATATGAGATTATAAGCCCGACTTAGACATTTGGATTAGTCGGAATTAATATACAGATGCACTCAATTTTCTTAACAACTCTAATCAGAACAAGATCTTGAGATGAAAAGCAATCCGTAAATATTTATAAGTGACTGCCTAAGTTACCTACATAATAGACTGGCCTATACATAACCTAATAAGACACTGCCGCACAATCTTATTGTAGGTCTGTTATACTTACTTAAACCCACGCTAAACTACATCACTTTCACGAAAATATTGATAAGGCGCATAATATGGCGATAGTGCTGCCATCTCATCATCATAAATAAGGGATAACAGTATAAGTACTTAGAGTACACTGAATTTTTTTTAGATAAATAAGACTAAATAATAATACTTACGATGCAGTTATTTTTTTACAATGTATATTCGCAATTAATAAAATTTTGATTCGCTTCTATTAAAAGCACACAGCAGTTCGACTATTCTTTCTTACGGACCTCTTCATTGGCTTCATGGAACGCATTCACATTTGTCTTTAAATTTTAGAAACAATAAAAAGTCACAGGGTCTGAGTTCCAACAGTAAGGTGGATATGTCCTCAGTTCTTCATTTGACGCTTTCAAACAAGTTACCGTTACCTTAGCGGAATGCGAGGATGTTAACGCGGTGAAGCGGGACCATTATACTTTTTTTATACGAGTCGCAACATATTACCCCACCTCACCAGATGTTAAGTCTAATTGGAGTCCAATCGCGAAGGTGGATGATGCGGCAGATGTGTCGCTCTAGCCTACCTCAACAGAAATACAACACCACCAAAAAGTAGTGTTATTTTACTGTGGTATTCTGTATGGTGGAGGTTCCTTCCTCAGACGGGCACTCCAATTCGAACAGCAAATCCATTGTGCTCTACCTCTCTTACGTAAGAAGTAAAAATGTAAGTTTCTCTGGGCAAGAAAATGTTTATGTACCAATCCGCATTTGCCAAAAAAAGAAGCAACCATTCTCTACCAATACTTCAACTTTGAAAATTCTCCGAAATTTAGCTTGTACTGATTGACTATATGGTGGAAGAGTCTGTGCGGAAAGAGAATGGGCGGTGGCGAAAAACGGAACTAACATTAAGTTTTTTATTTGGCAATCAAAACCCAGCAATCTGTAAAACGTCAAAGTTTTGTATTGATACGGATTTGTTTGTTGTTGTGATTTCTTGCGGTTTTTTGTATTTAATCATGTCTAAAAGGAGTAAAACCTTACAAATACGGTAGAAAATCACTACAGCGCCCTTCAATCTAAATCCCATTCTCTGTCCGCACAGACACTAGAATGTTATTAATTTGGTAAAAAAAGGTCAGCACCAACCGCGATATAATGCGCCTTAGTTAACTTAAAAAATATTAACTTACAAGAATAGAAAAATTCACAGGTACTTCCAAATCTGCTTGATTAGGCTGATGTGTGTGCGTTTTGTATTATGAATGTAGCAAAGAGCGAACAATCCGGAAGTTATCCATAAACTTTTTGAGCGCGTTATATTTATTATAAAAATAATTATTTGGTAGCAGAGATCAAGTTTACATCTAATGACTATTTTGTAGTATACAAAAGATATACATAACATAATACACATTGCTTGACTTTTTTAATTAAAAGGTTCCTAAGAAATTACATGCGAAATTGATATGCAAAACAGGTTACAAGGGCAGTGCATGATTTCACCACTAGGCGGCGCTAGTGATACAACCAATCAAATTCAATTACTTCGGCAACTGATGTTAATTACAATCATGCGATTGGTTAAAATTTGGAAGTAGCACAGCGACATCTGCGGTGATCCAATGAAACTGCCCCTTTTTTACATTCAAGTAAAAATATGTAATTTTTACTTCATTCTAGCAATCTATTTTTATTAAAATCTTTATCATTTAACATACAATCGAATGTTTACACGAGTGTAATATAATTTAATGAGAATATTGTATTCTGTATTAGCGTAATTAAGTAATCAAGCATTAAATCTCAAATTGGCATACAGTTTTAAAATAAGTATACAAGTACTTATGTAAATAAAATATTTTAAAAAAATACGGAAATCACAAAATACTCTAGAGCACCATAATTGAGAGAAGCATGAGCAAAAAAGAACTACTTACACACGAACCAAGTTTTCCAGTTCAAGTGTACAGTCAACGTCAAATACGCAGTACTCATTTTTAGCTTGGCTAGTAATTTTTCCAGTCCGTGAAAAACTATTTTACCAGTAAAGTGGCAAAATTTCAAGTTAATTTGACCATAAAATTATGGTAGTCTTATAATCTCTTCAATAACCACGTATTGATCAATGACTGAAAATCTGAGTACATTAAATTATTTGATGTTGACTGTACTCACTCGCAACAATAAATATGTCGCTATAGGGCTCTAAAACATCAATTCCTATCAAGTCTAACATCTAACACCGCAGTTTATATATTGACGACCTCCGTGGCCGAGTGGTTGGTACGCCGGGATTCAAGGTGTCGCCTACTCGATAAGTCCCGAGCTAGAATCCCGGTGGGGACAGATGTTTGTGTGATAAATACTCCTGTCATGGATGTGCAATATGTATTTCTATATAAATATACTTATATATGTATTCTATCTGTTACCCTAGTATCCCATCACACAAGCCTACAGTGCTTACTTTGGGGCTAGGCTAATTGGTGTGAGTATTGGAAATATTTATTTTGTTTATTTATATTTATAATAACAATTATGTTAGACAACATCACATTCAGTTTTCTGATCCCAAGGAAAGTAGCTCAAAACTTGCGTCATAGTAAGTATCAATTACACCGAAAACATCAGAGGCTGTATGCTTATATTTTAATTTATACAACAAGTTAAAGAAGAATAAGTTTTTAAGTAGTATTACAAAAATATTGCTAAGTTTTTAGCGATTTGGAAATATGAACTAAAACAGCTTTGTTAAAAAATATAGTTCAGAACAAACCCTGCTTCGATATGGTCCGTTGCAATAATGTTAATTTCATTGACATTTACGCTAAAATCAATTCGAGATCGAGCATGGAATCGTCTTCGGTTAAGGAAATCACGTAAATAGGGCTGTTGGTAAAATCCAAATGCAAACTGCAAGAAAAATCTCTTAAATTATACATAAAAGAGATTGAAACGGTCAATCTCTAATTAGCATCGCTTAAAATTGACATCTCCGTTGTCGTCTTATTTACCTTTATATAAACTACCATAATCATTTTACATAACTGCGGGTCATCATAATATATCATCATCATACAATTCTGATCTTAATCTCGATATATACTTAATTACTATATTCCTCTATAACCTTTATATGTTAACTATATGAAGGAAAGAGTAATAGAATCAGATTAAATGTAGGCATAAATTTATACACACTTACTATGCATTAAACTAGCCTAGACTATAACAGTGAACACGCATCCGAGTTTATGTCTTATTCCCATACATTAAAGATCATTTTTCAAGATTTATTCGAAAATGTTGTCTGCTTAAACTTCATAATTTATTTTGTAATAAGTATTTGTTTTTTTTTTAATATTTGTCCTTGAATAATAATTAATACTATAATATTAAATATATAATTATCATTAGAATTCATAGCGACACATTCTAAGTATAAATTAAGATTGTCAAGCTGTTTTAATTTTACATCAATATTTAGCAATATTTTTTTTGTGATTTTTGATTAATTAATGCAGAAATCTTTTGAGAAATATTTACCTTATTGAACTATGGTTATGTAACATTCGAACAGATAAAAAATCGCATGAAATTCACAACGTGCTGAAAAAAAACGTATAACATATAAAAACATAATTAGGCTTTGGTATTTTATAGAGTTAGGCCCGCGTCAAAAAGTTTCCAGACGCCTACTAACATTATTTTATTAGGGCCATAATAATCTCAGAACTTTGCGGTAACTCACAAATTGCTTGTGGTAGGATATATCAAATTATATTAATTTGTATATAATGTAATACATAACATATATTCTTTACAATTTATACATATTCACTACAGAACATTAGTGAACGAGATTTACCATTTCCGAAACACCTTAACAATTCATTTTCAAATGGTTTTATGGTTTTATATAAGGTTAAATACCTCGTGTTTTCAAAGGATTTTGTTCCTTATTCCTCGTAATTTATACATATTCAATTTAAAATGTTATTTAACAAATCACCAATTCCAAAACACTTTCATTTTTAGTTCAGGAGTATCTCGCAAAAGGTTACATACCTCGTGTCTCCAAAGGGTTTTCCTCCTTCTTCCTCGTAATTAAAGTTCAAATCCCTTGTTCAGTTAGCCCAGGCCATGACAACTTTCGAGAAGGGTACGAATAGCGCAGTGTAATGCGGTTGAGTGAGGAAGTATCGACGGCCGCGGTAGACTCCGTCGTTCCGCGGCAAACTTCCGATTCCTAGGGGGAATTCCCCGCCTACTACTACGCAACTGGTGGCCGCTGTACCTCCAGCTAGACCCACGTAGCTGAAAACAGAGACCTTGATTAGGGTTTGTTTTTAATGTGTAACATCTTTCCTCTCGTTTTCCTGCAATTTGAAATGGGACGGAAGTGTGTAACAGGAATTCGCGAAAGCGCGAGCTATTTGATTTGATTTTAGAACATAATGTTCAAATTGCTTAATGGCTAAAACCTACTACGGTTTTATTTATTTATTTTCTAATATAAGGTGAAGTTTCAAATGTTACACATCATACGAGACTATTGTAAGGCTCACTCGTTTTTTTATGAAGGATAGATGTTAAGTCAGAAAATCGGTGGCGTTAAAGAAGAAAACTTAATTGAAAACCTCTGGGGCGCTATAGGACCGATGTAAGCGTGGAACTTGGCGATTAAATTTATATCGTTACCTGTAGGCCTCTCATTACCTCTTCATTTAATATTAGCTACCGTTCAAAAGCTATTTATTCTCACGTGTATTTTTTAACTAATTTCAAATTGTTATTTGTATAAGGAATAAAGAAGGTTATATTTATAAGGAAGTACGGAAAGCCTTGTGACTGGCACAAGGCGGCGGATCATAGAAGTGGGTCGACAATTTATTTGTTATATCGAACTCCTGCGTGCTTTAGAAGGCACGTTGAGCCGTTCGTCCCGGCGGCTGCATCAGCAGTTTTAGCGCCTACCAATCTGCAATCTTCTTTGAGAACAATTACCAGAGCTCCACGGTTTAGGGATATGAGGCTATGACTCCATTGGGGCTCTATTTCATATTAGGTGGGGTGTAAATACATTACCGCACTTGACGACAAAGTCTTCTCACTGTTCACAATGTTCGAGCCCCCCAGCATCACAGCGCATCCTTCTTATCATTTAGCGTTCATACTCATGATCGCTCCATCGATCAGACAAGGTAGTATACATAGTAGGTAAGGTCTTTGCATTTGAAATCAGAAGAAATGAGAATACATTACCCCATCTTACGATGATTTTTTCTCGCGCTAATTTGATTCCAAAATGTGTGCAATATTTGAAGTCCCAGTATGAGAGTACTTCTTTCGTCGTTTAACGTCCATACTCATGACCGCATATACAATACATATACTCACCGCACTCGGCCCACGTGCAGACGGCCGCTGGGGGCGATGACCTTCACCGCGTGCCCCAGCCTCAGGTGGCGAGGCTCGCGCGGTATATAAGGCTTCCCCTCCACCCCACCCCCACTATTACTCCCATTTCCGGTACAAATGCCAGAGCACGGTTGAGGATCTGAGCGCGAACAACCGCACGTGCAACTAATACCGACTGCGGGAATAAATTATGATATATTTATAATTTATTTTAATTGATATTTTTTTAAGCTATTTTAAATGTTTTTCCTACCACTGATTTAGGACATCTTTCAGCTGATACAAATAATGGGCGTCAACTTAGATTAAAACAAAAAGGGAAGATACGGTACGCTCAGGCTAACATCAAATAAAATATGATCTGACTCATCTACATAAGCAACTCTCCGTTCATCTACATAAGGCACACGTCTGTATATAAACATTCAGTGGAGCGAGCGAGACAGATCTGTACGGCGAGTCCGCGTCCGAGTCCGTATGGCTGAGCTGTATTGTTGTCCTTTTCTTGATAACAATATGGAGACTACGTAAATAAAATTCACGACAAAACGTGATTTTTGAGAAAAAATGATTTTACGGTTTTACGGATGAAAAGTGTTGCCGAGGCATTTGTTTTTGATTTTATATAAAAGCACTAAAAACTATTCGTGTTGTTTATAAAAACCGCGAAGGCATTGTTTTAACTTTATAACACAGAATATACGCAATATTGTTATATTGAGTGCACCACAATTTAAGCGGATCACTTTTGAGCCGCGAGTGCGATTTATATCTATCTTCCCCTTTTGTTTTTATCTAAGCCAGTCAAGGATTGGAATGTTTTTCAGATTTTGTGGGTTTGTACTGTGTTGTGTGTCCTTTACGTTATTCGACCATGAATTCTGAATGCCTGAACAGATTTGATAATTAGGTTTGATTAGAATCATAAAATCACTAGGCGTGCCTTAAAATAGTGCAATACCTTATTTAATGTTAATGTTTAATACTTTAAAACACAAGATGCATGAGTAGTAACAATCCAATTGAAAGACCGCAATATTCTTTTCAGCAAATATGATTATCAGTCTATACAAAACTATAAACCAATCGATTTTAACATCAATTTCAGAAGTTCGACCTTTAGCTCTAGTAACTTAACGCTTTGTTATTCGAAACGAAGTGAAAAAATCTTTATGATGGCCATCATAGCAATAGAAAAGACAAATAAAGATAAATTTAAAAGAAACTTAACGTATGGCAAAAAATGGTACCTAATGATCTTTATAGATGGCCAACCAGGACCCTGCCTCAGCACACGCGGACAAAGCGATATAGTGAGAAAAGATAATACTTCTCTCACCGTGACAGCACTGGAATAGGGTATTTGACAAGTTTTAGAGAACGATCTCACGTTATTGACTAATGTTTATGGAGTCCATCCGAAGTGGATATTCATCATTCTGTTATGTATTTCAATAAAAATAACCAAAGCAAAAACATTTTAAAATTTTCGCGAAAACGTTTCTCTGGACAATATGGCATCTTACTAGTGTGTGACGTCACCCGACTGATCTTAAAACGTCAAACGATACAATGTAATGTCACTTTAACCGAAAGTTTACTTGCGTGTGACGTCATTTTAGGCTCCGCCAATCTCAAGCGTTTTGGGTCCCGTGACAATAGATGAGAAAACTATTATCTTTTTCGTGGGTTTTCAGTAAAATTATAAATATTTTTTTTTTAAAATAGTAAAAGCCCCTGCCAATATTCATTCTAAACACAGATGATAACAATTGACACTTTATTTTTAATACTGTCAAATACCCTATTCTAGCAGGGCCTGTGTACTGTGGCACCCCCGGTAATCCGACACGTTGATTTGCATATAAAATCAATTGAAATAGATTTTTAGATTTGTAATTTGTCGGATTACAAGGTATTCTTATTCCAAAAAATCCGGACTATAGAGGGTGGTCTTAGGCTACAACTCTGTAATCTGACAAATTCGATAATCCGACATCGCCCTGCAAAACGTTTGTCGGATTACCGCGGGTTTACTGTATTTGTATAATTTATACTTACAGTCAAGCGAGTTGTAGCGGAAGTTGTCTATGGAACGGCGCAAGAACACTTCAGCCTCGTGGACCAACTCATCAGTATCGTCATAACGAACATCCGGCAACGAACTACGCCACGCGCGGCAATCAGAGAAACCTGCCAATAAAGAACCATAAAGTACTTTTTTCTAGAAAGAATACCACGCAGACCAGGCAGCTGACGGGACTCGAACCCGCACCTTTCGCTATCCGGGCGAATGCACTGACCATTATGCTACCGCGGCTCTGACGGCCGTGTCGAATTTTCTCTAGCCTTAGGCTGCAATGCAGCGCCATCTATTCGCATTGTAGGTAACCCACAATGTCAAATGAATACCTTTACAAGTATAAGACATTTCAAAGAAGAAATAGCAATTATAGTTATATTTTTGGATTTTAAAGCATTTAAGTGCTAGATGTTTAAATCTAAAGAAACTTTTTACCGCGTGGAATTTTTTCTAGTAAAAGTTTTCCTTAGATATTGGTTCTTAGGTTTTCACGCACATCACTCATTAAATAAAACTAGTTTTTAAAGGGATAATGCACGAACTTTATTTACGGTAGTTAGGGTCAAATAAATAAACTCAAATTTACAAAAAGCATTTTAAATAAATTACTTTATTAACTAATAAATTCATACATAGACAATAAAGTTTTAAAAATCTCCCAATAAAATATTTGAACACTCAATAAAAGTCTTTCGAAGGTAGCTCGACAAAGTAAATAAAAAATCATTATTCTGACAATGCAGACCTGAAAAGGCTGCAAAACGTCAATAAATAAATAAAGTTCGTGCATTATCCCGTTAAAAACTAGTTTTATTTAGTTTTCTTTAGATAAAACATCAAGCAGTTAAATGTTTAAAAATGCAAAGATATATTAAAAAACCATGTTAAACACCCAAGCAAACTTCAACTCCCTTATTAATAAACGAGGAACAAGCTTAGACTAGTTACACCGTGTCTCTATGTAACTCGAGTGCCATTTGTAATTCAATGAACAGACAAAACATAACATAAACGAATCCAAGCTTATTCTTCGTTTATTAATAAGGGGGCTTGAGTATAGACCATTTACAGAACGAAGCTTGTTTACATACAAAAACGTCTACTGGCGCTAGTTCATTTCATTTAGTCTTTGGTTTTGCCCAAGAAGTTTGCGTTTAATAAAAAAAAATGTGAATTGTGCCATCAACCTTAAGCCTTACCAGAATTATCTGCGCAGCAGCAGCCCTGCTGCTGCTGTAGTATTAAGCTGAGGCAGGGACCTAGTTGGCCTACCTTGCTTTGTTTTATTTATGTTAATATTATTGTGTTTAAGGCTAAAAAAAATCTTTCTTTGTTTATTTCTATAATAGGTAGTGATACGTGATATACAACGATCCAAACTTTATGGAGGTCGTTAAGTTAGCAGCAAGCGCAACTCTGAAACCTGCGTTCAATTCAGTGACACCTATGTCATCTTGTATTTGGTATGCTGTGTCGTGACTTGCGCTAACTTCACAGTCGCCGTTAAGTTTTTATCGCACTTTACGTATACACCTATAAATACTATGTTCTTTTAAAAGCGAGTTAGACGTTATACTTCGTATAAAAAATAGTGCCAACTCGCGACATTCTTGTTTTACTGATCTGCCATCTAAATCGGAATTAAAAAAAATATTTAATAAAATCACTCTGTACTAAAAAGTTTAGTAATTTCAAAAGAGAAGTTGACTTGAAAAGAGAGTTTTACCTATAGTAGAAGAGTTTTAATTTTTATTCAAATCTACTAAACATAGTAGAACTAAAATAGCTGAATATAACACTGTCGAAGCATTATTGTTGTAATATAATAGCATTATAACAATAATGATTCCAGTGTTATATTCGGCTATTTTAGTTGAAAAACTATTCATCTGAATAATAGCCAGCGAGCGTTAAGTAAGGTAAAAATTCAAAAATTTTCATCAATCTTAATTTTATTCGTGTAATCAATGATCAGTTAGCTACATACCTCTAGAGACGTGCGTATATCCCAGGTTTGGGGTCCAATCAGTGCTTCGGTCGATACTGACACACGGCGAGCGGTATGAAGATCCACGCGACAAATACCTGAAACTATTTTACCCTGAACCTGATCTAATAATAAAAATAATATAACACTAGACGGTACAAAATGAGAAAAAAGCTTTGCAACAAAAAGAAATAGCCACCGAAAAGTATGAAATAATAAACTTTTTATCTTTAGTCAAATTAATATTTGAAGTCGGTACCAGTGCCAGCCCAATCCAAGTATTAAATGTGAACTCAGATCTATCAGACCTGCATGGCACCGACTCCAAATACTAATTATTTGACTAAAGATAAAAAAAAGTTTATTATTTTATTAGTTCTCGGCGGTTTAATTTTTTGGTAAGAAGTTTTTATTTCACAATTTTTTGTGGCTATATTTTTTGTAATATATAGCTTTGCATCAAAATGAATGAGTGAACAATCAATCACCCCCTGTTTTCATACCCTTAGGATTGTTTTTTTTCTAAATTCAATGGGACCAACTTAATAGCACCTATACGCTTTCCATAAAAAAAAATAATTATCAAAATCGGACTACTCTGTAAAAAGTTCTGCGTGGTCATACAAAAAAAACGCGTCGACTTGAGCTACGATATTTTGTCGGTAAAAAAAATGGACTGATCAACATGAAGAAGCAGACTAGACGAAAAGAAAGTGAGAAAGAAGAGATGGTGGAAGTAGATATCCTACTAATTCTTTAGTAATTTATGCTTTTTTTCTTTCTTCATTTATCTAGAGGCTTTCATTCCACGCATAGCTAGCCTCATCATACCCTAACCAAAACATACACAACTAATTTAATTTAAAACATTGGAGAGGGCGAGCTATTCCTCCTAGCGATAATTATTATAAATAATTATAATAAATAAAAATTAAATAATTTATGCTATTAACGGGATTGCTACCACGTTCCTTGTTTTTTACGAGTCCCGGATATTTTGGCACTGTTGCAAGCGCCGGAGTAACTAAGTTACTCTGTGATCAAGTTGTTAATGATCATGGAATTTTATAACAATCTATCCTACTAATATTAAAAATGTGATAGTTTGTTACTCAATCACGCAAAAACAACTGAACGGATTTGGATGAAATTCGGTTAGCATATACGGTACGTAGACTCTCCATTACACTCGCACTTATTGACCTCGTATTCCCATAAATAAAGTAGACTTCATTACTCCCAACCGCAAATAGAAAGAAGAGACCTCAATATACTGTTTTAAACTTTCATAGTCCCTAACATTATAGTAATTATATTATTTACGGGTTTGTTTGTTATCCGATATTTCGACACTGCAAATCGGAAAAAAACTAAAAACAAGGTACATGGTAACAATCACGTAAATAACATAAATTACTATAATATAGAACCTCAATGTTGATGATATCAACAAGAGTGATAGCTTTGCATTTTTTTCTAATTTTTTTGGAGATTTTTATGTCAGTCTCATCATACAGAGTGGTGTCTTAATCAACTTACTTAGAAGTAGACGTAGACACAGGGGATTCCCCATGCATGCGCTTTCCCATTGCCCACACAGGATCTGCGGAGCGGGACAATTCCGGAACCATTGACGTAAAACCTGGAAAAGAAAGACACATGGTTTAATAATACATAGCGAGGTCACTAAATAAAATTTTCTATCTACCTGGCGTATTTAAAGTACTTTCCTTGTATTTAAAGTACTTTCCTTTTCGTGTAGCAGTCTTTGGACACCCTGCTGTACCACCCTTGTTGTAATGTTACTGTATTAACAATCTTCTATCTTTATATATATAATTCTTCTGTGAGTGTGTATGTCACTGAACTTCGCTTAAACGACTGGACCGATTTTGATGAAATTTTTTGTGTGTGTTCAAGGGGATCTGAGAATGGTTTAGATTCACAATTTTGTCCGCTGGACAACCCCTATTTTTTTAGGGCGGTACGAAGTTCGCTGGGTCAGCTAGTATATATATATAAAACTCAAAGGTCTATCAACGCACAGCCCAAACCACTGGACGGATTGGGCTGAAATTTGGCATGCAGGTAGATGATATGACGTAGGCATCCGCTAAGAAAGGATTTTGATCAATTCTACCCCCAAGGGGATAAAATAGGGAATGAGAGTTTGTATGAAACTTTGTCAATTTTAAACCGATCGGGCTGAGACTTTGCATGTAGGTATAAGAAGAATCATAGATGAATGTCATTGTGTATAATACAAGCCTGCCTGTAGTCTTCACTTCAGTTCTACACCGAAGCGAAGCGAGGGCGGGCCGCTAGTTGTGTATAAAGTGATATTACATCATCTTACCGATATGGCTGAGCGGAACCCTAGCGGGGTGGTCGTGGGCAAGGGCGCGGGGCAGGAGTTAAATGAAGGAGGACGAGCTCCGTGGCCGAGTGGTTTGTACGCCGGGTTTCATGGTGTCGCCGACTCGAGAGGTCCCGGTTCGAATCCCGGTGGGGGCAGATATTTGTGTGATGAACACGAGCATTTGTACTCCAGTCATGGATGTTTAATATGATTTATATATAAATATACTTATATATGTGCAGTATATGTATTCTATCCGTTACCCTAGTACCTCATAACACAGCCTTATAGTGCTTATTTTGGGGCTAGGCTAATTGGTGTGAGTGTTGGAAATAATTATTTATTTATTTTAAATACCCAATGAAGACTTTACCACCTAAATATTACGCATAAACATTCGTGTACAAAGTGATTTTATATCGCCTTACCGATGTCGCTGAGCGGGACCCTAGCGGGGTGGTCGGGCGGCAGTGGCGCGGGGCGGGAGTTGGGGACTGTCAGCTTCCGCCCCGCCCCTGTACCCATTGAAGCCCCTACTCCCGACCCTGGCCCCATCCCAAGCCCCGATCGATGAGGCAACGTAGGCGGCGACAACCACATCTGATGCGAAAAAAACTTTTGTCACTTCTTATATAATCTAAAGTCACTATACATCCTACTAGTCCTACTTATATCATTAATATAAAAGTTTGTATGTTTGAGTATTAATATGTTTGTCACTCAAAAACTCACGCAAAAAGTACTTAAAGGATTTGGATGAAATTTGGTACGCATATAGTTTATGACCTGAATTGAGACAAAGGATACTTTTTATCCCGGAAAAATATTAGGTTACTACAAAGAAATAAATAATACTTTCCTTGTCGCAGCATAGCCAATTCAATCCTTTAATTCATTTATTAAATGAATTCTCAATTCAGGAATAACCATTTTTTTAATTAATTATGCCGTTATGACATTGCAACTAGCAGTAGTGCGTACAAATTTGTTTAGGGTAAACAACAAATTACTTCCTATTTAACACGAGAACACTACTAAAATATCAAAATAATGCACTTGATTTAGAACTTTAAACCCAACCAATAAGGTTGGGAACGATATTTAGGATTGATATATAAAAAACACTTTCTTAACAAAATAAAAAAAGTTTAATATATCTAATAACAATCATTCTTTACATACTAAAATAATAAAAGTTGTTGAATTAAATCCTAACTAATATTATAAATGTGAAAATAAGTTTGGTTGTTTGTTACGCTCTCAACGCCTAAAACACTTAACGAATTTGGATGAAATTGTACAGAAATTAGAGATTTTCCTAAAAACTAAAGTTAATGCAAACTAGTTTGATAATAAAGTCTCCATTTCATTAGCTTCTTTGAACTCACCTTGTGCGCAAGATAGCCATCGGAGCTCCATCGGTTGGGCAGCGCGCAAACGTCAGTCTGGGCCGCAGAGCTCCTACGCGGCGCGTTTCCCTCGCGCAACACCGGCCTAATGTGGCGACCGCCTATACCAAGACCACCCGCCTTCAATGGCCCGCTGGGGCGACTCGATACTCGGTACCCGGAAGGCCTATATAGTTACATATAAGACTATATAGACATATAAACCAGAAACACCAGGAAGTGAGAAATCTTTCAATTTAATGGAATAGTAAAACAGAAATAGCAGGAAGAACGATACGCAAATCGCGGCGCAGTAAACGATATGTAGTTTTATTTTTAATGTTTATGCAGGTAAACCAGCTAGCAGTCAACCTAATGGTAAGTGGTCTCTGCCCTCCATGGCACTTGCAGCATGGATACGCATACGTTGCTGGCTTTGAAGTTTCCTTCAACATTTTCAGGTTTACGCACCATTTGAAGACCCTTATATCATAGTTAAGAGGCGAAACCGCTGAGGGTACGGTGCTAGAACGCCAAGCGGTCAGATGGTGGAGCTGAAACTTCTCTCTGCGGCGTGTTCATTGCGGTGAAGGAACTGGGCCACTGGCACCACATTTAATATCTCCATTGTATACGCACAAAGACATCTCTGCGCAAGGGATTGCAACACGTCAGTGAGTTCAGGATCATCGATAAGTCGAACGATAAGCGTTTCAAGTAGATAGCAAACCTTAGGCACCGCAATAACGTCAGTCTGAACTGCCGAGTTTCTACGCTACTCTCTATTCTGTGAGCTAATGTAGCTGCTTCCTTTTAAAAAGGTCTTAAAATCTGTAATCATAGTGATTTGTTAACAACTTACCTATATTGGAATGGGTTGGGGCAAGTATTCCTCCTGACATTCAGATTCGTAGCCAGATCGTCTTCAGAAATGCCGCATTTTGATATATCTGCTTCCGCGAAAACCGAGAAACGATGTCCTAAATGGTGATGCGGCCTCTGGAAGCTGTCGACACTTTCTTCTCTATGCAAGATATCCATGCTGGAGCCGAGTTCGAAGCTAGACGACTTCGTATTATCGAAGCTTAGCCCTCTATTATACTCGCAGGTCAAACTGTCTACGCTATCCAATCGCCTAGTGCTTGTATTTGGACTCCTTTTATAAAGCATGTTATCAGACTTATTCTCGTAACTCTTTAGTATTCCGCGACCTGGTAAATCCAAGCTGCCTTTTCCATTGAAAGCGACATGACGAATATCTTTGTCGCTAGGAAGCGAAACTCTCTTGGTCCTTAAAGAAGACTCCGAGATAACTCCATGAAGACTGGTGTTTTCTTGGTTTTCGTTCACGGCATTGTCTTTTGTCTCCCCGCCCGGTTGGAAGTCTGGATCGAGGGTGTGGAACTTGATCAGCACTGGAGTGGAGTGGGTGGAGTGCGTGGAGATCGATGACGGGCCCCAGTGATCGGACTCTCGTATAGACACTAAGTCTTCCTGAAGGACCAATTAGAATTACGTTTAGTAATATCCCACTATCTTATACTACTAATTTATAAATGCGAAGAATAAATGCAGAAATGTTTGTTATTCTTCACATAAAAACGGCTGCTCGGATTTGGATGAAATTTTAAGAGCTTATAGTATATTGCCTGGATTGAGACAGGATAGTTTTTATCCCAGAAACCATCCTTCAGGTGGCAGGGGGGGACCATTTTTTCCATGCGGAAGAAGTCGCGCGCACCCACAAGTAATTTAATATTTTTAATAACAATTCTCCACTGTGCTTTAGGAGGCAGTATAACTTTTGGTCCCTGCTGTATCATCTCCCTCACCGGTCAAGTCTCTCTATTCCATTAAATAGAAAGGGCCTGTGTCTCAACCATAGATTTATTATTTGCTTCAGCAATGATTATGAAATCTAAAAATTTTTTTTTAACATTAAAATTAAAGTTAGTGCAAGTACCAATATTAAAAATTTCAATAGACTGACCTGCAAATTACTCATGTCCTTAGATTCATCAGTAGTAAATATAAGTTCTATATCGTCCACTTCCTCAGACTCATTTCCACTAGCATTTTCTTGATCCAACTTCTCATCTGTGCCGATACCAACATTCGGATCAATGGGAGTGGTGACACCTTCTGAGAAAACCGAGTTGTCTCCTTCAGACATAGACCTGAAATTAAACAAAGATACTTTAATTTTACTATATATCTCCAACAAGGTTGACAAAAAAAAGCATGAAGGGTGAAGGGTGAGTAAAACTAATTGTTTCTTAGGTTTTCACGCACATCACTCATGAAATAAAACTAGTTTTAGTTAAAACTAATTGTCTCATTTCATTATCACATAAAATCTATCCCCTGTCAGACCAGAAGGAGAAATACAGCTTGTCAATTGCAAGATTTGCAAATAAATGTCCACTTAGATAAAAATTTATAATAATCTTTATATTTCTTTAATTTATCTACTTATAATAAGCAAAATATGCAGGTATGCCTGACAAGATATATTTTACTACAAAAAATCTTACCTAAGACTCAAATCGTCTACATCTAAATTGAGGGTGTCTTTCCTTCTTGTTCTCTCAAAATTTTCTTTGACAACTAAGTTTTCTTCAGATGTAATTCTGACTTGTACATCAAACTTGTCCACTTTAGATTTGGCCTCTGCCTCATTCGGGACTGCCATTTTTACGTTTTCTGTGGTTGCAGTTTTAAGGTTCACTTTGTTCCCTTTTGAGTCAGCAAGATTTTCAAAATGATCTTTCTTCTCTTTAAATTGAAAAGTAGGTTTTATGTCTGAAGAATCACTATCAGGTTTTTTATCACCAGCAATAGAGTCAGTGTCAGATGTTGAACTGGAGGCAACGGCTCCCTCTTTCAATGTTCTAACTTTGATTCTAACATCAAATTTTGACAGCAACTCCAATTTAGTCCTATATGCTGGTTGATCTTCAGTTTCTTGTTGAAAACTGGTTACTTGACTATTCTGAAATTCCTCCTCTTCTGCATCAGTAGATGATGTTACATTTGTGCTACTCTTGGACTCAGCAGATTGGAGTTGTGTTTCTAGAGATTCATTTACTTTATCAGCAGAGCAAAACTGATCACCTTCTACTGTGTCAATAGCACAGGCATCTGAAGTGTGCAATGTTGTGTTTGCATCAGTTGTTGGAGTTTGTATAACAACTTCACTGCTATAATCTTCATTTGTCTGTGTTCTGGGACTGTATGTTACTTCCAATTTAATATTCTGTGAATCAATATCTTTTTCCTCATGACCAGAATCAATGATCTTCCTCCTGAGTATATGGTTCTCTATTGTTAGTTTTTCAATAACATCAGCGAACTCATTACACTGTGAGTGTTTTTCATACTTCTCCTTGAGCTCCTTTAATTCATTTTTAGATACTTCTAAAGCAGTCCTCAAGGATACCACAGTTTGGTGCAGGGACCTCACAGTGTCCAGATGCACAGCCCCGTTGGGGGCTGGCTCCAAAGCTCCACTGTCCATTCCACCTTATTTCTCACCAGTACTCCAATTTTCAACATCCAATACATGACTACTGCTCTTTCTGAGGGTTACTTCAATCTAAAGCAGCTGAATCCTTAAATAAATAAACAACAAATGAAATCTGGATCTATCGATAAAATACCATTTTCCTGTAGCCACTGTACCACTGACCTAATTTTTGAGCTTCACTGTCACAAATATAAACAGTCGTTCCATAGCGCATTTTTAAGATTATCATGCACCTTATGTTAAAAATGCCCGCGCGAATCACATAGGGCACGAAGGAGCTGCAATCGATAAAGCAACTCGACCAAAAGAGAGTTAATTTATGCTTTTAAGTCCTCGAAAGTTAGTTCGCGGCGCCGCTCAACTGGCACGAATCACTGATAAGAGCTTAACACGAAAGGTAGTAATTTAAGTAGGGATATTATCTTCTGGACGATTTGACAAGGTTGCAGGGTCTACATTTAGTATAGAATAGTTGAAAAATCTACGATGATGAACTACTTGTAAACAAATCAATACTTGGTTTTGCTATTCGCGGGCCTAAGTGCGAGCGAGAGATTATACTGCTATCTCTCTTTTTGTTTGTCACATTGACATTTGTTTCAACGTTCAGAAAGGCTTTATCTTGGAGTTTGGAGATAGTGGGTTCAGTATTCCCAAAAGGACTAAACCGCCATTGATAATTAAGTCATTAATTTGTATTTAATTGTAATAATTGGTAATGTCATGTAGATGATGTAATTTTTAGCACGTTTGTTCTTCTTGAGTTTTCTTATGAACTGAATCCTGTCGATCCATTTAATCCCAGTAAAGTATTTCCCTTAATCACCCTATATTATCACTTTGTTCGAAATAAAAAGAAAAACGAAGAAGATGAGATGAGATGAAAAGATTTTTTTAAATCATACTAGATTAGAACAAGACCAATAATTTTTAAACGAAGTATAAAAAATAAATTGGACGGTAATGTGGTCTTTTCCTTTGCTTTAAATTTAAAAATAACAAAATGACAACAGCAGCTGTCAAAAATCTAACCTAAAACAAAACTCAAGTCAAGAGAATAGAACAAAATATTATAAATATTCTTTAAAGGTTGCTGTTTTATTTTGAATTAATATTGCTAATATGTTCGCTATTACTGGTTCAGTTACCAGTTCTTGTTTCAAATCATCTTTATTGGTACAAGCTAGAAACAAGACGAAAGTTCACTGGGTTAGTAATGTAACTGGAATTTAACTAATAATTTATGACTGAGATATCATTTTAAGGGTTTTTCTTTTACAGGCTAAACTTAAAAGAAAAACAAGTCCAAAGTACAAAGCCCAAAATCATTTCGATGATTTCTATGGTTCTGTGTTTGGTGAAAAATGGGAACCAATGAAGGAAGCAATGCTACGCCGCCAAAAGTATGTGGCTGTTATTAACAACTATGGTGACCCTGAAGAAACAGCTGAATATCTTGCAAATAGAGGTAAGTTGTTGACAGTCTTATAAATTAATAGTCATTTACCAATTTGTTTTCTCTATTTAACAATAAAGTAAAATAAGGATGAAAATTTAAATAATATGTAATGGTTGTTCTTAGTCTTCAAAAGTATGTTTACCTTTTATAAATCAACTCAAGCTAAAGTCCAAATCTGTGTAGAACACCAAAGGTCTTATTTCTTATATATTAAATATTGTAATGACAAATGAGTGTCTATAAACTTCTTTTATATTTCAGGAGCACATTGTCTGAAAAACCTAATGACAGTTCAGCAAGCCTTCCATAAACAATACAATCCAGCTTCAGATATGCCTCCAAAATCTAATACAGACAATAAACTACAACAATACATTAGTAAAGTTCAATCGGATGATATAGCGGGCATATACCCACAGAAATTAGAGTTACCTGACACTTTGGAACATAGTGATATGTCCTTAAATAGTGTACAACATATTTCAACAAATCAAAGTAAAATGTAAGCTATTCCAAAAATATTTTAGGTTTGATTATTGTAATATTTTAGTAAGAATTTATTCATTACTATTTTCCACATATAAGAAAATCATAATATGCCTTTCTTTCACCAGTTAATCTCCAAAAGACAAAGATTCTTCCAACAGAATAAAAACTCATGTCTTTCAATTTGTTAAGGAAATGCAACATATTCATAAAACATTCAACTAACTACCTGTAAAGGTTTGCTTGCCAGGAATAAACTATAGTTTTGCTTACACTCATTGCCCTGATCATTATGTACCATGTGGAGGTACATTTTAGGAGTGTATAAGAATATGCGGCATGACAATAATATCACCATGATTGTCTCATGTGTGAATGTGGTGCTTTAAATGGATTATGATACAAGTATATTTGACGAAAATGGTATATCTTTAACCTTTTTTTGCAGGCAAAGTGAAAATAATCAATTAAACAGTTCACCAATAGATGAGTCTCGTATTATAGACCCAAGCTTAGGATTGTCAGCTACAGAGGCTCTCTTTCAATACATACCAGCCACCAAGCTCAAAGGCATGGATGATTGGTTGCCCGAGTCTGTACATTACTCATATTTGTCAAGTTAGTAAAATATATAATTTAATATTGCAACCTAAATAATACTAGAAGAAATTCGACATGGCTATTTAGGCCACAGTAGAATAATTGGTCTGTGCATCTGCTTTGATAGCGGAGGGTGCGGGTTTGAGTCCCATTATGCTGCATGGTCGTGTGGTTTATTTACTAATAAATAATAATAATATATTATTTCTATTTAATTTTATTGTATGTACTTAACTTTATACCCAAGCATTAAGATTCATAAATAACACATACAATCTGGATATTAAACAAAATTATTATTTTAGGCAATAAAGATTTTCCATTAGTGATAGATGTGGAAACTGAATTAAAATTCCCTGAACACCTTAAAGTATATACTTACGAAATGGACAGCGAGTGGACCATGTTCCCTGAACCAAAAAGATGTAATACAGGTTAGTGGAATGTAGATATCTAAAATCTGGAGTTTTAATGATAATATTAATCATAAAGTGCTACTGAACAATAAATAAAAGTCAATTGCATTTTTTCTTGTACTTTAATCTATAGTGTATGTCTCTCAATTTATGGTGTAGGTGTATACAACTACTATCCGTTAGACTGCGGCAGCGTGATATCCGTACTGGCACTATGCTTGGAGGGTGGCGACCGAGTGCTGGATTTATGCGCAGCTCCGGGAGGCAAAGCACTGCTAGCATTACAGACCCTTCTGCCTGACATTGTAGTCTGCAACGACTCCTCCATTTCACGATCCAACAGGTACAATATACAGACAGACCACGTGATGCCAGGGGGTAATCCACTGCTAGCGTTACGCTGCTGCCACAGTACAGTATTAGAATAATGATACTAAAGGCATATTTACACATGGACGTTAGCCTGTATTCGGATGCACGAAAGACATTATTCGAATTTAGGCAACGATGAAATATTTACATTGTTTTTATTCAAACACTAATCTGATGAAAACTGACTGAATACGGGTGTACTCGACTCCGTTCATTTACACTTAGTAGTTAGTCCGAATTCTATAGACAATCGTATTCAGGCTAACGACCAAATATAATTGCGCTATTAGGCTGCGTTGTTTCATCTATCGTTTAATTTGATTTTACCTATTTGAATCATATAGCAAAAAAAAAAATTTCTAAATATTATGTGATAGTATGAAAATAATTTAATAAATATGTATTAATAATACAACGCAACATTGAATGACACGAAAGTAGGCCACGTGAAATGCTGATGTTTTGTAATTTTATTGTGTGTTATATTTTATAAGTGTGTGTGTGTGTAACTACGTAGTGCACTAATATTATAAATAAGTATGTTTTGTACCATTAAGCCTTCTTCAATAAATGGACACCAACCTATCTACGTCTTTGTATTTATTATAACCTGCCGCCATCACCCAACATACCACATGGCGACCCTGCGAAATTTGGAAGAAAAATTATAGAAATAAATTGAAGAAAGAAGATATTGAAACTGAACTGAACGTCAAGTAAGAAGAAGTTTGAAGATTGAAAATTATTATGAAGAATCTTATTTTTGGGGCAGTCGCGCCAATTACCAATAACAATGTGCCGTAGCTCACAGTCCAAAGAAGAAATTATCATCGCTCAAAACGCCGGTGGAAGCGCTCAAGTAACGGAGACCAAGTTGAACCTTACCGAGATCCTGCTCATCACGCTATTCGTCATTCTGTTCGTCGGTGCCGCATACCTATTGTACAAGAAGTGCCGAAGAAATGCTATTCTTTCGTTGAGAAGGGAGCTCAACCACAGCACCTTAGAAATGCAAGCAAGACCATCAAACTAAGAAGTCCCCGTCCCGGCCGTCAACAGGAACAGCAGCACGGGCCACGTTGTTTGATGTCAGCAGAACGTGACCGCCACAAGAACGCCGCCCGCCGCAGCTCGTGACGTCAGCAAGTGAATTGGAAGAAAATATATGTAGGTACAATTTAGCTGCTATTTCTAGAAATCAATAATGAGTTATTTTATTAAATTAGAAGTAATAGATAGTTATGTCTCATAAATTAGTTGAATTATATAGTAAGTTACAGGAAATTAAAGTATATTTAAGTAAAATAGGCCCTGAACGTAGAAAGAAAGAAATCGGTCAAACTAAATTAAAAGAAGCCAATGTCATTTATTTGCAACTAGAGTATATTTTGTGTGAAATTAAAGCTAATATTAATAATTCTGAGATAAGTGCCGAAGATCTTATTAAAGTTAATTCTATAGTAAATAATATTCATTTAATTTATAGTGAAATAAATAAATTAGTTACTTTTTCAACTAGAAATCCCGATAGTTCTAAAACTACAAAAATGGCAGATACAATGGCCTTTGACTTTAAAACGGCTATTAGTTTACTTCCCATAATGACTGGTCAGGAACATGTCACCAAACAATTAATCGACGGTATAGAAATGTATAGTTCTAAACTTGATGAGACATCGAAAAATTGTCTTATAGATTTTGTTATAAAAACAAGATTATCTCCTAGCGCGAAACTTCGCTTACGTGGTAGCTATACTACAGTTGATTCATTGCTCAGTGACATGAAAAAGTATTTAGTACAAAAAAAATCGGCAGTCGCTCTCCAGTCTCGGTTACAAAATGTAAAACAGGGAAATAGGTCAATAGAAGCATTCGGTAATGAACTAGAAGATATCTTCTCTAATTTGACATTAGCACAGGCCGATGGCGATAGTTCAAAATATGACGTATTGCGACCAATTAATGAAAAGATCGCTATAAAACGCTTTGCCGATGGTTTGGCAAACTCTAGATTGAGTATTATTATTGCATCAAAGGAATTTCTTTCTCTTCCCGAGGCAATCCGTAGTGCTATAGACGAGCAAACGCTTTCTACCAGTGGGGAACAAGTTATGAATTTTCGTCACCACCCTAAGTCCACGAAAACACTTCATTTTATTAATAAAGGGTTCCGCGGTAGAAATATTGGCAATAATTATTATAGTAACTCGCGTGCTCAATACGCTAACCCGATCCAGTCGCATAATGTGAGCGCGCCGCGCACGTTTGTGCCGCGACGTGGTTCCGCTCGAGGTCGAGGTGCACCCTCCCCGGGCGCGCGCTGGTCAACGCCAGGCGTGCAGTATCAGCCCCGTACACGAGGCTATTCCCGTGTCCACCATACGTACTGCGACACTGAGGTAAGGCAGCCTCGAGCTCCAACCTCAACCATGAGTGAGAGTCAGTTTTTTCGTTCCTCAAACGAAAACAGAGCATGTAGTTCTCAATTATAATACTTCGAGTACGGTAGCTTTTAGTTTAGGAGATAGGATAATACATTTATTAATAGACACTGGTGCCAGTTTATGTGTAATTAAGTATGAATATTTAGCTAAGGTATTTAGTGATTTGAAAAATAAAATTGTTCCCGAAAGACTAACTATTAGAGGTGTTAGCGGTAGGTTAATATCAGAAGGTTACATTTATTTAGAATTAAGTAGTAACAGTATGACTTTTAGACATAAATTTTACGTATTTAAGAACCTGTCATGCTCTGCAGATGGAATAATAGGTGATAACTTTTTAAAACAATATTTAGCGTTAATTGATTATGGTAAAGGCATTTTAAGCCTAACTCAGTCGTCTAAATCGATAAGTATGTGTATAAATAACAGGTATAAACACAACATACCTGCGAGGTGTGAAACTATTAAGTTCATACCTACGAATATAACCGACGATTGTGTCGTCCTTGCGAATGAAATAAGAGAGGGAGTATTTATTGCAGGTGTTTGGTCGAGGCCTAGAAACGGGCTTATCCCGATTAGAATATTAAATACGACGAAAAATGACCTAATTTATGATTTTTCTCATTTAGAAGTACATAGTTTGCATCATTTCGATGTTTGTAATTTTTCGGAAAGGGAAATTTCAGTAAATCGTGTAAAAACATTATTTGAACTTCTTAACCTAGGTTATTTAAACAAAAATGAACATTTTCTAAGTATTTGCCGAGGTATTAACTATATAGTCATATTTTACTATCGCTGAAACAACGTGACCTTAGAGTCATAGGGGCAAGGCGCTGCTGATTCTGTAAACACTGCCAGTAATAGTGATCTGAAACAGTCCTTCAATTTCATGGTCTAACAGCTACCCTCAAAAAAGTTTTAAAAAAGTAGAGCACAGCTAAACCCTTCACCTTATTCTACTGTATTTATTATGTTCAGACTGTTAATTTCACCAATTCACCACTGTAAGGTATAGGCCATCCCCTTTGCAGACCTTTAAAAAATTTATTTCTTTGGTAGGACATTGTAGGAATTTGAATAATTAGATTCCATGCTTAATTATATACATGAAATTATCTAATGAGGAAGATATTATGTATAATAATATTACATATTTCAACAGAATGCAGAAGATGTTCAGTGATTATCTTATAGACTACAAAACGAGTAACAAGTGGCAAGAAAGGGTATTAATCACAAAGTTCGACGGAAGAGCTTTCATGGATGATCAAGGTTTCGATAAGGTATATTCTTTAAAAGTAACTCATTTAAATTCTCGAATATATTAGGAACAACATATCCCGCCACATGACGCGCAGCGCTCAATCTACGTCCGAAATAAGTATACACCTAGAACTAATCGCCACAGCCTCCTCGTGCGACTTTTCTATAAATGTTTCGGAGCGATAGCAAACAACATGTACTGCGTCACGCGAATGTGTCGCAAAATGTTGGAGGCAAATTGCGGGACGTTGCATCGTCCCCTTTGTCCCCTTATGTTTTGCAATATCTATGGGTCGGTCGCTTTCGTACACTTAAGAAGGTAAGTTGTACTTATGTACTTACTACAGCGAAAAACTTTCTTTGACAAAAATAAATAAGAGACTTTTCAAAAACAAATCTAAAAGGCAACCCTAGAGAGCTTTTACCGATTCCAAATTTTGTTAATTAAATCAAATTTTGCTAATTAAGTTATAATATCAGCGTCATAGCTTTAACAACTAATTATATAAGTACATTAATAATTACAGAACACACAATAATCCTAAATTCTATGTTCACTGAGTTTAAGAGAATGATATTAGAAATACTTTAATCATAAATAACCCAATTATTTGTTTGACTTTCTCTGTGAGTTGGCAGTTTTTAATTAAGGCCACACTACATATTATTATTGTACAAACATGGTAATTTTAACATGTTTTAGATGGTGTATTGTAAACTGTCCTTAAATAAATAAATAATTTATTGAAAAATATGTGATTTCAAGCTTTTCAGCCACTGAGTGCCTTTTTTCGACTTAAAATGTATGAAATATTTTTTAAACTTTAGGCAATGCTTTCGGGGACTGCAGGCTTGACACTATAATGTTAAATTTTTCATTTTTCACGACTACATAGCAACCGGTGAATGCAAAACTAGCTGACCCGGCGAACTTCGCACCGCTTACAATACAATTTATATGGAAAAAATAAATTGTTGTTTTTATTATCCTCCTCACAATTTTTGAATATTTTCTCACCATTTAAACTAGGGAAGTCTACGATAAAGATTTTAAAATCAAATCAGCTAAATTGGCCCAGTCGTTTTCGAGTTTTAGCGAGACAAACGAACCACAATTGATTTTTATATATATAGATAGATGGGTTGACTCGTCGCAAAATGTTAGGGGGCAAGTTGCGGGAGATTGCAGCGACATGAAGATTGTGCGTTGCGCATCAAGAAGGGGGAAATTTTGTCCACTCATGTATTCGAGGCTTAAAATAATAATAATAAAATATGCCAAGGAAGAGATATTATGATATATACATAGAATAAATGCCGTTATTATGCTGTTGACAGGTGTTAGTCGACGTGCCCTGTACTACTGATCGTGTCTCCATGAGGGAAGACGAAAACAATATCTTCAGACCGGATCGCATCAAAGAAAGGCTGCGACTACCCGAGATGCAATCACAGTTATTACTGTATGTTGAATAAATAATATAATACTTACTAATATTATAAATGCGAAAGTGAATCTGTTTGTTCGTTGCGCTTTGAAACCTAACGCGGAGTTGATTATAATGAATTTTGTCGTAGACATAAATGAGACCCTGGAGATGGTTATACATTGATTATATGCTACTTTTTTTCGCTAAAACATAATTTAAAAATAAGGAATGAAAGTTTGTGTGGGAAACCAACTTTTCCACCCAGACGAAGTCGCGGTCACCCGCTATTATGATTTTCAATTCAGTAGTTACCTAAATATTATCTTTAGAACACAAAACTTATTTTCCAAATTTTCTGTCATATTCATAACACGTATTATAATGTTAATATAACGCTAACAGGAACGCGTTACGCTGACAGTAATATACTCCACGTATTCGTTGGGCCCCACACAGAACGACAGAGTCGTGCTTATGGCACTCAAAGCTTTCACAATCATCACGATTTCGCACTATTTTACTGATATCGTTCATATATAGAGAATATAAAAAAGGACCCTGGTGGGAAACTTGAGGAGTCCTTGAAGGAATATTTAAGAATCTCGATCGGAAACCTTTGAGTGCAAAAGCCTGACTACATTACTGACATATGACGCAATCCATCTTGTTTAGCAGATCGCCAGGTATACAAATATATTTATTAAAATTTACATCATACAGTCAGCTTATAACCATGAGTCCCACACTAGGAGGTACTGTATCGTGGGCACCCAATGAATGTAAATAAGATTGCAACAGATGAAATAGTAAAATGACAGAATACAGAAAAATATCTTTGGAACTACATACGTTATAAATAGTGACCTCGAAAAGATTTTAACTATAATCCATCCATCTATCCATCGCAACCTATTAATGTCCCCACTGCTGGGGCACAGACCTTCCCTATGGATGCAATATGGAGATTGGGCCGTGACCCACCACGCGAGCCCAATGTGGATTAGTGGGTGCTAACAACTGCAGATGCAACAGCCGGGACTAACGGCTTAACGTGCGTTCCGAAGCACGAAAGAGCTCCAGGTAGGTAGGTAGGTAGTAATAAGTTCACCCATCCAATGACCGACTATTGCCAAAGTTGCTTAACTTCAACGATCGCAGCGGACGCGCTAACCACTTGCGCCATCAAGTTCCTCAATTTAAATCATTTTTTTAATTACTTTCGATGGATTGTGAATTGTGAATATTTTTATCTCATTTTACTTATCTTTCTAGTGAAAATACAGTTTGTTTGTTTTATTTATACATTGATAAGAAAACTGTATTCATATTAAACGGGAATGGTCGTTAATTCTGCAACACAGTTTTGTAAAACTATAGCAGATTTAACGTTTCATGATTTTATGTATTTTGCACTTGTTCCAAATAAAGTTATTATTATAATTATTTTAACTAATTAGACGCGCACAGACTATAGGAAAGTTTAAAAGTGAGGTAAAGGATTTTTTCCTTTTACACTAATTGTTTTTGTTGTTACTCCATCATTCATTAAATTTTGTCTCTCCATCCTGTGGTTGTCTGGAAGAAATGGCTACATAGCAATAAGACCGCCAATTGTCCACCTTTTTAAATTATTGTCCAAACTTTGTACTTTATAATGTGGTGTGTTCAATAAAGAATTATACATCTATCTATATATCTAATATAGAATGATTTAATATTGCCAATAGGAACGCTTTACGCTTGGTGCGCGTTGGTGGCGCAGTGGTATACTCCACTTGTTCGTTGAGCCCCATACAGAACGACGGGGTCGTACACATGGCACTCAAGCGGGCCTTCGAGGAGCACGGAATACAAGCCTGCGTTAGGTGAGACTTCGTTTATTTATTGATTTACTAATTTAGTGCACACGCAATAATAAAACAGATAAGAAGAACAGAAAAATTTAATGTAAAAGTTATTAAATTTCGGGTCATAATTAACTGACAGTGAAAGAAATACGACCTAAACTTTTATACACACTGTATTTTTTATTTCATTTCAATGATTGTCTTTAAGAGGTAATTATTCTTTTCTTTATTTTCTTTTAAGGGACTTTCGAACCAAATAGTCCATACCCAGCCGCATCGTAACCTGACCATACATTTTTTTTAAATCACTTAATTATTATGTTTAATTTTTGATACCATATTGCAAAGCACACCAACCTCTTCCGATAGGGAGTTGGGATGCCTTGCAATATACCAGTTTCAAACCTATTAATTTTAAGGAAGAAAAATGCATGTCTCCTTTCCGCGTTCATTTTTTACGCATTCCATTAATATGTGTTGCACATCCTCCACTTTTTAACATGTTTCACAATTAAGAGAATTGTTTTTTTTTAGAAGGAATAAGAATTTATTTAGTGGAATATGTCCAGAACAAAGTCGGTGCATAATCATAATATATTTACGACCTATATTATCAGTTGTTATTTTCAAATTATCGTTACGAAATGTAAAGTTTGTCCAAAGGTTTTTTTTGCTTTAGTTACTAATATAGCAAATTGGTTATTATTAACATAATAATATAATACATACATACATATAATAATTCGGACAAAAGTTCTAAAAAAGTTCATGTCGCTTAGACTCTTTTGAGGAGTGTATGTTTCCATGTAACTATTGTGTCCTCCTTTTCGTAAAACAGTACATGGCTCATACTCCCCAATACCAAGGTTATCATAGGTCCTTAACGGTTGTAGTCATATTATTGATATTATTTTGCATTCACTTCCTAAGTTCAAAAGAATATTGTCCCAAACATGGCAACAAACTGACTGATTTAGCTTGTTAGTTATATGAAAACTGTATTGTAATTTATAATTATAAAGAACAACGTCATGAGTTAGGAAATAAATAATAATAATATTGTGATGAACTTAATGCCTATTTTTAGCGTCTACTTTAATGCATGCGGTGTTTATCTCAATAGATTGTCTCACTAGAGTGCATAGTTAATCTTGTAAATAGTTTTAAGTAATATGTAAACAAACACAGATAAATCATTTAATAAATAAATAAACAAACTATCAAGTCGCCCTTCAAATTGCAGAGACTTCTCCGCCAGTGTAGCGGGTTTGAGTAGCACCCTCTGCCTCGCGTCGGGCGACTCGGCGCCGCAGTACGGGCAACTAGTCATTCCCTCTGTGTCCGCTAACTTCGGCCCTTCATACATATCGCGGTTAGTCAGACTTAAATGATACCTTACGAGTAGCTAGATGTCTGTTTTAATGTAGTATTGGTAAATAATGTGAAGGTAGTTCATTCGCACAAAATTAAACAACTATTAAACATTTTAAAGAAGAAATAGCAATGAAAGTTATATTAAATAAAACAAGTTTCAACGGGTTAGATGCACTGATTTTATTTATTTATTGACGTTTCGCACCCTTTGCAGGAATGCGTCATCAGAATAATGTTTTTCTTTTTTGCATCTAGCAGTTAATTGCTTAAAAAAATGAAATAGCAATTATAGTTATATTTTTGTCTTTTAAACATTCAACTGCTAGATGTTTAAATCTAAAGAAAAAAAATCTTCAGATTTTTAGATGTTTAGATCTAGCAGTTAAATGATTAAAAAATAAAATTATAACTAAAATTGCAATTCCTTTTTTCAATTGTTTAATAGTTGTAAAGGTTTTCATTTGACATTGTGGGTTACCCACAATGCGAAGAGATGGCGCTGCCTTGCAGCCTAAGAAATACTAGAGAAAATTCGACCCGCGGTAGCATAATGGTCAGTGCATCCGCCCGGAGAGCCGAGGGTGCGGGTTCGAGTCCCGTCTGCGGCTTCGTCCACGTGGATTTTAATGTGAAGTAGTAAAATGTGAATGTAATCCTTTAACAAGAACCATTAATCGATATTTCGTTCCGTGATCAATGAAAACAAGAGAAGACAACCGATCACCAAATATGGTAAAACCGAGGTAAAGGCGCTCGGTGATAAAATTTCGATCAATGGCTCCTGTCGGTCATTAGTGCTAACTTAAATATAATCTTTATTTGTCTGACGTGACTCGCCACCATTGTCTGTCTCGCAAGTGCGAAAGAGACAAAATGTCATTTTCGTTTCTTTATTGATGCGATTTATACATACTAGAAGGATTTAACTTTAAGTCTATATCTGGTACACAGAATATCAGACTTTCCTTAACCACATTTTATCAATTGATATTAAAGCTGACTGTTTCGAGTTAAAGTTAAAGATTGTTTATCTGTTGCGTTCTGTTTAAAGACACTGTGTTAAAAAAAATACACACATACAAGACGCCAATAATAATGATGTTTATTCACATTTCATATATACAAACATTAAAAAGTGCATTGAGAGAGATTAATTTTGTGCAAATGATGGTTAAAGAGCTATAAGTGGCCAAACTTCTGTACATTATTTAAAGCTTTATGGTGGTATTAGAATTAATAATGTACCTAAAATGTATGTGCAAGAGAAAGCAATGTTATGTAAAATTTTGTAAATATTGTAATAAATATTAAATTAATTCATTTAATACATCTTTTTTTTATATTTTAAGTACCTATGTCGGATGATTGATTTTCAAATAAAAGATCTTCATAGAAACACATTATTTATTTAAATAAGTACATCCATATAGAATAAGTACAGAATAATATGTCTTTGGTATGAGTTCTTCCAATAAAAAGGATAAATACATATATTATAACATACATAGTAAAACATGACGAAAATTAATATTTTTTTAGACAATAACAATTAAAACTATTATGATTATCTATATTTTAATGATTACATAAGTTTACCTAAACTACAAAATAAGGAATATTACACACAGACAGTCCAACAAAGCTAACTATACAATATTATAGTGAGGGGACTATGGTAGCAAGGTTTGCCTTACTGGAATTTTAACTCGTCTCATTAAAGAAAGGAATCCAAAATGCCAACGCAAGACATTCTGTCTCCCTTGCACGTTGCTTAGCATAGCATGTGGGAAAGGGACAGAATGTCTTACGTCGTGATTTGCAATTTCTTTTTTTAATGACATGAGTTATACTGATAATAGCCAAAATGAGATCTCATTGAACTCATTCATAACGTACGCGAGTGAAGGTGAATCATCTGCATTTGTCACTGAATCAAGGCGCCGTCGGATTACTGTTAGAATAATTCCTTATACTGTGCCTTAACACTATTATAATGCGGTTGAAAATAACACAATTATTATAACGTTATACTTTTTAGCTACACTTTCATATATTCTATTTTAAAATTTAACTTCGAATTAACATACTTTTATTTAAGACATTTAAAGCCAAAGATATATCATGGTATAGTAATTGCGCCGTATCAATATGCAAATTGTAAATAACTTTTTATAGACATTCATTTTTGTCTTAATACAATACCTACTACATTTTACAATACACTTAATTATTTTCAAATATATAATTTGACTTTGATATTTATTCCCAAATCAACTACCTCATACAAAGAAATTAACATTCTGATTCATTATTCCAATTGACAGGTCACAAAACAATAATCTCCTTTCATACAACGATCACGCAACAATGTTCCTACTATAATAATTGTCAATGTTCAACATTGCGAAACGACTCGTAGCTAAGAACAGAGTTTTAAACATAGATGTATAAGAATAGATTAGGGGAGATATAGACTCTAATACAAGTAGAAGTGTCCCTCTAATAGAAAGAAGATGAGAGACCGATAACTTTCTCTCTCTAACCGCGCATGCGCATTGGCAACCGTAAGCATCTTACTATTTCGATGTGATGCCATTGGATGCCATGCGTCACGTGAGAAAGAGATAGCTAGCGTTCTCTCATCTTCTTTCTCTTTCTACTAGACGGACACTTTTAGAGCCGCCTTCCCCACTCTATTCTTATACCTCTTTGGTTTTAAAACGAAGTCGTGAGTATTATACTTCAGGCAACATTTCATGCTAGTTCGGCATCATACATACAATGTGACAACTTTTCCATAGTGTTTAAAAATGTTCCACAAAATAAGAGGTAGTTAATTGATACTTGTTAAATTGTTGTTGATTTTATTTAGGAGATACATATTTTTTTACATTTTAGGATTGCGACAGCAAATGGTTGTGCTGCAGTTATGTATTGTAAATAGTCTTAATTAATTTCTACAAGGTGTAAAGCTTAATAAAAAAGTTATATAACTCTACACATATATCTATGACATATAATACTAAATGAATACAACAACAATTTATTAAATTTTCCATCGAGTTACTTTTATTCAGAAATTAAAGATTTTCGCCAAATCTACCGATTATTTAAAAGAAAAACAGTATGTATGCAATAGTTATTATACTTGTTAAAAATAAACTCTTACATAATATCTATACATAAAAATGCATAATAAGTACACGTACACGATCATATTTATGTAAGTAAATATTTAGAAACACTTATCTTCAACTGTAGTAATAAAATAAGTACATCAATGTTTTAAACAACGTAAGTACTAGGGTAAGTACATATATATGACCAAAACGGCAAAGTATAATAAATCTTTGTTTTACATATATTAACAATTAATAAAACACTACTAAACGCGAAGGTTATTACTATCTATTATTTAATTTTTTCATAACTATATTTTTTTAAGTCAAAATAATGTCAAACATGCCCTAGTTTAAGCGGTCAACTTTGTATATATGTGCTTGCGATACTGAGTATTACACAAACTTATGGCCCTACAGTGTGGAGCTCCGACATCCTTGGATTTTCGGCTAATTTTCGAATTTCGTGGTCACATCACACCCTCTTTATCTCTTTGAAGATCCCCAGTATATACAAAACATATAGGGTAACTTTTTAAAGTAAACTTTTGAAATAATTGAGGTAACTTATTTATTACTTGTTTAAGAGTGTTTTATCAGACGATCAAATAACGTTATAAGTATGTTTCAATCATTATAGAATAATACTTTTTTTTAGTCTACATATACTAAGTATGTCAATGCGTGAATATTTTACAGAGTACACATTCTAAAAGTGTCTATAACAATCCTACATTATGCAATAAATCTTGCTAGTTGTTAGAGTAATGAAATAGCCAACTAACTCAGAGCCATTATCGCAAACGATTTCAAGTCATCAAAGATGAAAATAATATTTCACTTACCTACCTTTCTCTTAAACAGATAAAGGTGGTACGTATAAAGAAAATACTCGCTCCTTATTACATTGTTAGGTAATTAATACTTTTAGTAGCAAACATAGATATAAGTACTTCATTATAAATATTTTACACGATTCAACATTAGGTTCATAATTGAACTACCTATCTAAATAACATGGATTTTTGCAATCACCCCAAGTCTATTGACTTTATAAAATTATTTTGTCTTAATATAACATATTTTTTAATACAGCAATTAGGGTGGATGCATTGACCGCCGCGGTAGCATAACGGTCAGTGCAACTGCCCGATACCGAAGGGTGCGGGTTCGGGTCCCGTCTGCTGCCTGGTCCGTGTGGATTATTTTCTAGTAAAATTTTCTTTATTTCGTCTTTTTTTGTCTTAATCTACTTATGGTGATAAAACTTCATCGATTCTCACTAAGGTAATGAGAGATACTCTAAAGGTTATGATGGAATATGTACCTTTCATAAATAATTTAGCAAATTAACTTCGGAACAAAGCTATATTATGTTATATAGTTTAATAAAAAATATATCTGTCCCCTACTCTAAAAAGTCATCTAAAAGCTATTCAGAATATAAGCATTTTAAGTATTTATAATACAGAATAATGCTGCCCCATTTTTGTCTGAGGCCTAAATAAGGTATATAATATAATAAAGTATAGGATAGGCATAGCCAATAAAGAACCAAAGTACTATGCTAATTGAGAGAGACGCCACGTCTAATATGTTTCTCTAAAATTGTATCGCCGCTTTATCCCTTTATAACTCAAGCAATCATATTCTTTTCTGAGCGAGAGATATTATAAAATGCGCACCCATGAAGCTCGAGCAAAAACCGACTTTACAAGACCAATCTGATCGGCTTTGTACATGCAAAATAACCTCTCTCAATACATGACACTTCTGTGGGTTAAATAGGGATGGAATGATGGAAGGTGCTTAATGAGTATAGGGCATATGTCCCAATGCCAATGTGATTAGCGAAAAGAGTAAACCAAGAAATCAGAAACGAGTTTGTGAAGAAATAATACTTTTATAGCTAAAGATCGCACGCACGAGCGAATTCAATAATACTCTCGGCTTGAATTTTCGACCTTACTTCCAACGCCCAATGATCAAATTCGTACGAGTGATATAAAACGTGCGTAGTTATAATAAAAAGCTATGTGAATCGTTAGAAATAACGCCAAGAAAAAGTGTTCCCGCCGACGCGATACCTTATCGCTACAACATAGAGAATTATCGATAGCAGTGTATGTTTATAATTATTATCTGTCTTATTGATCCTTAATCTATGTTTATACTGATAGATAAATCCTCACCTGTGGAAGTTTTCACTTTACATATTTACGTTGCTTAGTCGAAATTTAGTAGCATTTTCGTCGGCGCTTGGGACATAAGATGGATATGATATTAGATGGGATTGAGTACATTTAGATTGACTCTACTGCCTTCTCCTCTTTGTTTAGTGGTTTCGTTTCTACAATCTCGTTGTTGTCTGGTATGCGGTTCCAGGGTTGTTCTTCGCCCGATCCGAATATTGTGTAAGCCACGATCTCAATGATGTACAAAGCGATAGTCACGAAGAAAATCACTCGCCAAGCGCCTATGGTTTCCTATAGACATTGAGAAAGAAAAATTAGCAAAAAATCTGATATTAGATCGTTCGCTATTTAACAATATCTTCAATAACGCTCCAATCTTCAATGGAATAAATACATTTAGCTAGGTTTTTTAACTTACAAATCCGTAATCATCATTCTAAAATAAATACTATAGAATAAATAAACAAACTTACGTTGCCATGAGTGAGCACACCCACAAATATGGGCACCACTATGCCCGGAATCGTAGCCACTGTGTTGGTTATTGCCATCAAGGTACCTAGGAATGAAGAAATCCTTAAAAACAAAGTCATATAGTGCCTAATTCTGTACCATTTATTGACCCTTTTTTTCTATTTCATATTAATGGTAATTAAGTGTCTTCTTTGTCTGTTAAATCCAACGAACGAAAGAACGATAAAGATATTAAAAGAGCGTATGTATATATCTCTGATTCTTTCTATAGTATACAATCATTACTTATAAAAGTAAATATTCATTAATTTATACAATCAGAATTTATATAATTATGGAACTTAAATTATGCCACTTAATTCCTTAGCAAAGTTAGCTTTATAACACAGTACCCAACATCAAGAAAACTACTCCTATCTAGACTTGAGAGAAGCTAGAATATGCAGTTTAATCGTAGCAAAGAAACATGTTTTAATAACGGTTCCTTTAATGTTCTATAATTATATAAATATATACTTTATAAGTAATGATGGAAAAGAACAAGAGATATAACAAAAAAAACGTATATGACTCACCGGCGAAGTTAGGTGCGATATCGATGTGGTTGGAGAGGAAGCCGCAGAACATGCCGCCGATGCAGGTGACGCCGATCGCCATCAACGCCACCGCCGCACCGCGGTTACAACCGATGTAGCAAAGGGCGAGCAGGCAAATGGCGGGCACCACCGACGCTGTACCCAATACAAAATCACGTGATGTTTTTAAGCAATTTTTAACCCCTCCCCTAACCCTAGTTATGTGATAATAAAATGCATCTGGATTGAGGAGAGAAGAGGAGGATGAGAGGTACAAAATGCAACCAAGGTACTTTTTACACGGTAGCCCAAAACTTTGCCACATTGCTGGAAAATAGCTAAAATACTGAAAAAATAGAAAATATTGCTGAAAGAAGACTTAATTTTTTTATTTAAAAAATAATATGAAGTGCATTTAGAAAAAAAATGTCGGAGCGGAAATCGAACCCGTTAAATAGTTATTTATGATATTAGTGCGGTAAGTTGGTTATTACAAACGAGTAGACGAATGTAAGCCCAAAACGAAATCAAGGGTTAACCATAGTCAAAACATTTTTTAAAACATTTGCGAGAAATCAGTATAATATATAATTTAAAATTACGCAATTTTTTTGCTTACAATTTATTTTTTTATTTTGATAATGGCGTGCATTTCCATTGGCGCCATGTGCGGATGGTGATCATTAGAACTATATGTTTCGTCTCTTTTTCTTTTTACTATTAAAGTGAGATAAAGGTATAGATTAAAAGCGCTTCCAAGGAGGTTCGATCGTAATTTTACAAAACCCGTAAATAATACGCACTGTGCTTTGTATGGAAGCGTACGATCCGTAATTTTCAATTTTCGAACAATGTAAACAACCTCCGTAAATGCATTTTTGAGCAAATTTGTTTGAAAAATAAATTATCGGTAACTTTAGTGCCCCGATCGATTTTTTATTTCTCAATAAAAATGAATTCTTCCTTCAGCAAAACTTTCTATCTACAGAATTTAAGTACTTTCCCTCCATATGGCAAAGTTATTGAAACACCCTGTATATTTTCGTTTTTGAACTCAGGTTGTCCGTTTAATATGAGTCTTCGGCACATAAACGTATTTTTAAATACTCTAATAACTTTCACGCCTAAAAAAATCAATAATAGAAACAGGAATATACTAATAAATGCACCAATATGCGAACTATTTAGTTCTAATATGAATCTTAAGCTTACCGAATAGAGTTCCAATCTTCCTAGCAATGGTAGTTGTGATGATGCCTTTCCCTCTAAGCCAGTCCAGGGTCCTGCTGAGGACGATACTGAATATCCACAAGGACAGGAACGGCAAAGCAGTAGTCACTGCATTCTGTATACGAAGAATAGTTTTAATGGCTTTTGGTATTTAAGGAGAATACCATATCGCGGGTATCATGCAGCTGGCAAAAAACGCAAAAATGTTTTTTTTTTATTATTTAATTATTTCATTCGTCTTACCCGTAACCCTCAACACACAAATCGTCATATGATTGTATTATGTAGATATTAAAATAATTAAAAAAAACTAAAAGATATAAATTAAATATCATACGAGGAGCTGGCGAACAAAACAATACAATTACATAAAATTTAAATTTACAGGAGCTGTATAAAACTAAATGACATTCCTACAGTGAGCTTTTGGCATGGTTTTTAATTTATAAATTAAGTTGTTTTAACACTGTTTTGATTGAAAATTATTTGAGATTCAAATTCAACGGGCCTGAAACCTCAGGAATGTAAAAAAAAAGAGTTTGACCAAATACGTAATTATACCGTTTTGTTCGCCAGCTCCTCATATTATATTATTTAATATTATTAAAGACATATATTATATTATTATTATAGCACTTATAAATTTGTCGGGCAATAAAGGCATATAGAAAGTGTTAACGGAAAAAAATAAAGTTCGTCGAGAGCCTTTTCTTTCACGTAATCTATCTGATAATAAATTGAATTCTTTTCGTCTTTATATGTCGCTAAATCGCACGGTCCGTTGTTATTCCAGATACTTTATTTTATTAGTAGGTATGATGCAAAAGAGGCGTATAAAATATAGCTTTATTCGGAAAGTATTAAAAATTTCTTTTCGATAAATAAATAACTTTTCGTGGTATCGATTACTATTGTGTCCAAATGTAACAATCGAATTAAGAAAACTTGATTATTATCGGTATTGTCCGACTAAGTTTTTTTTTTTTTAAATACATTTTGGTCTCAGTAGCCTAGCAATTTCAGGGTGTAATAGGGGCGTAAATATCAAAACTACCGTTTATTAAATCTTAAATTAATTTTACTTCATACCACTTTTTATGCTTTCCTTTAATACGTATATTTTCATAGAAATACTTCAAATTCGTAACCGAGAACAACAATAATGAAGTGGCGCTGTCATGCAGCCTTAATTATACTTATTAAAAGAAGTTCCACTCGTTAGCATAGCATAGCTTAGTTTGGTAAACCTCTGCATCAGCCTATTAATGTCCGCACTGCTGAGACACGAACCTTCCTCATGGACGGATTAAGGAGGTTGGGCCATGACCCACCACGGGTGCCCAGTGCGGAGTGATAGGCGCTTACGACTGTAATTGCAGCCGGGACCCACGGTTTAATTGACCTTCCAAAGGAGCTCAAGATAAAAAAAATTTGGTCACCCATACTGACAGCGGCCTTTGCGAAAGTTGCTTAACTTTCACGATCATGGACTGCTAACTACTTGCGCCCTTGGGCTCAAACCACATCAGTTGGCTAACTATCTAAAAACTTAAGTCTTTTCGCTCGGTCTCCCATAAAACATTAATACAACAGTAAAATGACAAAGTGCAGAAAAGTTAGTCTAACCTCAGTCATGTTGAACTTCAGCACTTGTTTCATGTAGAAGGGCAGCTCGATGAGCAGCATGTAGCAGCCCCAGTTAGAGCAACTGTGCGATACCAGGATGGCTGGGAGTCTTAGTATAGAGAAATCGCTAGATCTCTTAAAAGACAAGGGTTATAAAAGTAAATCTGACCTCGGTCATGTTGAACTTGATCACTTGCTTCATGTAGAAGGGTAGCTCGATGAGCAGCATGTAGCAGCCCCAGTTAGAGCAACTGTGCGATACCAGGATGGCCGGGAGTCTTTGTATAGAGAAATCGCTAGATCTCTTAAAAGACAAGGGTTATAAAGGTAAGTCTGACCTCAGTCATGTTGAACTTGAGCACTTGCTTCATGTAGAAGGGCAGCTCGATGAGCAGCATGTACCAGCCCCAGTTGGAGCACGTGTGGGCTACCAAGATGGCCAGGAATGCAGGAGACGTGAGCACCGCACCCCACGGTACCGGCAGTTTCTGTACGCAACAAAAAAAATCCGTTATTGTAAAAGACATTACTGCCATAAACTGCACCCAGAATGAGGACCAAGTAACGTAGTAATGCACGCTGAGAAATGAAATGGTTGTATTAATCTCTAACAAAGGCCGCTAAAACATGTTTTCAAACTTAAAAACTAACGTGACATGCATACAGACCAAACAAAATACTTTGACAAATCAATTAACTGCAAATGAATTCGGCTATCTATTCATTGGGTAAGATAATGTTAAACGGAATTCCCAACCAATCCCGTGATCGGCGTTTCCCTTGATCACAGTTTGCATGAAACTACTTTTTATAGCGCAGACGGTTGCTGTTCTAGATAATTTATAGACAGCACCTTATGGCTCAATTACATTAAGTCGTTAGCCCGAATGCGATTGCCAATGGAATTCAGGTAAACGACTAAGTGTAAATGAACGGAGTCGAGTACGCCCGTATTCAGGTAGTTTTCGTTTTGGTTACCCGACACCGTCTACCATCCCGTAGTCCAGTGTAAATATTGCTTCGGGTGCCCGAATTCGAGTAATGTCTTTCGTGCACCCGAATACGAGCTAACGACCAGGTGTAGTTGAGCCATATCTCTCAGATGCTGTATAATATAATTAAGAGATATACCTAGGTTACTGCAACAGGTTAAGAGTCGTGGGCTTCCTACTATTTTGGTCATGATTTCAAGATTTCAGTCTACAATTTTTTACAAGAATCGCATTGAATTATTAATATCGCGTCTTAATTAAACATTAAGAGGTGACTGTTTTTTGCTTTATCTGGACTTAAACGAAATCCACAAGATTTAAAATACAATTTTTACTAATTTACAAATTGTGGTCTAGTTAGGTTCTATTGCATAATATTAAAGTAAAAACATTAATAGTTATGTATGTAACAATGTGGTTAAAGGTACTACATCAAAAAGTGGCTTGCAAATTCTGCATAGATTAACGTACGTCGTAAATTAGGAACGTTAGGGATAGGTTGTATAAAAACACAATGTTACCACTTTACTAAATGGGAATGGAAACATTAAATGATTACATAGCCGGACATGAACACACAATTTAGATATTGTGTGCATTACTCCCCCGGAGACCGGGTGTTGTGTCACTTGTTGATCGATTAGATGAGCAACAAGTTGGGTTAACAATATGTTGTATTAATACATGTATCTTCTATATTTGTAGATAGAGGCAGTCCTTTGATATAAGGCAAACAGCCAAGTTTGTACTACGAAAATCTCAAATTCACTACGGGTTCATTGAAAGGACATTGTTCTGCGTCCATACAATGTTAGCCTAAGAACCAACAATCATGAAATATTATTTTCTAAGTTCGAAATTGCAAGTAAATGACTGTAAAAACAAAGATTATTGACGGACACTTCTGAGAACTTAAATTATCAGGAAAACTAAATATTTTTTGAGGTTATGTATATTAAATGAAACATAGGTCAACCTTTGAACTTAGTATGGATTGAATTAATATTACAACTAATTCATTCTATTCGGTGTGATTTTAAAGAATAACTATTAGGAAAAACTTGGTTAGGTAGGAATCATGAATAAAATAAAAACTGTAATTTGCTTCTTATTTTTTGACTATTTTTCACATAGTTGTAACATATTGTATTTATTTGTATATCTTATGTATATTGTGTAAATATGCAGCGTGAAAGTGTATCAGCTGCTCTTGAATAATTTGGCAGTATGATCCTCTCAGGATGTTGTGGCACAGGTTCTCTAGCACTTGGTAATAATGTCTCTGCTATTTGGTTACATCAATGGCATATTAGATAGCCAAAATAGTTATATTAAAGGAAAAACAATCGCAAATAAACACACTACAGGTAATCCGAAACAAGAATGCACGAATGCCACAGATTACTACGAATGCAAACTGCCTGCACCACAACCACAGAGTATCGAGTTTTATGCCGGCCCTCCACTTGACAACACTCTGTCCTTGTTATGCTTAATATGGAATAAAAAGGACAGACTGATGTCAAGTTTTCAAAAAACAAACACGAATAGCCATGTGAAGTGCCGGCATTAGGAAGAAAGTGTTTTCTTTTCAGCGCTGTCGTAGATTATACACATAAAATGATAGTCTCAGATTATTTTTTAACTTTTTAATATAGCTTACTTAACTGGAAGTGTCCGTCACAATCTAAATACTGATAATTATCGCAAAAAATATACTAAAAATTATCATAAATGCCAAATCGGTGTTGGTTTTTAGGCCAAATATAACATTGTCCTTTGAATTATGATTGTAAAATAACACATGACAAGAAAGTAAGATATCTTACTTTCTTGAAATGGCGAGCTTAACAATTTATAACTATAAAATTATTTCCAAAATTACTATATAGTAATTTTGGAATCGTATGCCTTGCCCTATTCTGAAGCCCTGGACACGCCACTGTTTGTGGTTCGTATAACAAATTTTTGTATGTGTTGTAAGTAGGTATTAATAGTTTCTTTCTATCTGGTTAATATGACTAATTTATTTCTTTATCTACAATAAAACCAGGATCAAGAGATTGTTTACATAATGTGTGTACCTATAATAAACTTTAAGGTCTTTGAGGGCTTAAAAAGATATCTAATACTATTGGAGCTTTGAAAACAAGAACAAGTTATCAAACCGATTACCTCAGTAATTATCATGAAAATTAATGTTCAAACGGCAAACTGTGAAATATCGGAACCTGTTCTAAGCTGAGTATATATAATGAATGCCCTTCGGATCCTATTAAACTAGATAGTTGAATAAATGCATACTAAAGTGGGGAGAAAGTTGTTAATGATTGCAATCACATAAAAATTATTCAAATATTGCAATTCTCATCTATACTTATCACAGTGTTAAATAAACTGTGAGAAACAGAACTTATGTTAAGAATTATATTATTTATTGCTTTGAAAAAAAAATACTTATTCATTCATACCAGTGTCTAGAAAAAATAACTAGAGGCTACCAACTACCACTACCACTACCACATCAGTTCTCAAACTACTCGGGCTTTTTGTATGCATTTGCGAGGTAAAGATCATGTGCCTCTCCTCGTGACTAATGAGGAACTGCATCATCCATCCCGTATTATAGACCCTGCTAAACTTATATCGATACATAGAACTCACCTTATGGTGGGAATGGTTATCCGTATCACTGCCGCCCAGCGAAGTGACGATCATGTGCCTCTCTTCGTGACTGATCAGAGGCTGCTGCTGCGGTGAGTCCTGCACCAGGAACACCCACAGCACGCACCAGAGGCAGGACAGTCCACCCATCACGTAGAAAACGCTTTCCCAACCTGCCATTACCGATCAATATGCGTGAAAGCTAGAACTCCATAGAGACAAACAATGGGGGTGTCGAGTGCACGAATAAACTAATTTGAGATAGGTATGGACCCAAAATCATGATAGGTGTTCCACATAGGAACGAGCGATGCGGGTACATAAAAACGCAAATTAAAGGAGTGTTATGGTAAATTTCCTTTAGAGGCCTGGGTCAAATTCAAGCTACCAGATTAGTTTTAAGGTCGTTGTGTTCTTTCTTTTATTCATTTTATTAGAGCGATTTGTCTTAATGGGACGACCAGTACAGTAACTTAGAGGAACCAGTACTTATTTACGATGACAAATAAATAGGATTTTTTTTGAAATGCGATTTTTTTCGCACCCTACTCACATATTAACATTTAAAGTGATCATTTGATCACAGATGGTGTGATGATGACTTACATCAAACCTTGCGCGAGTATATATGAGTGATTCATTATCCTGTTCCTTTATGATTTGGTGTATCTGAATATACCTTTTACTCTCTAATAGTGGGCATCTTTAAGTATATGCGGCTGCATTAGTTATGGAACCATGGAATATTTGCTATCATGCGCAGCATCTTGTTTTGGAATCTTTCCATTATTTCCAAGTTAGAGTGCGAGATCCATGTGGGGTATCACGAGGTGATACGGTCAATGACACTTTATGGAGCCCCGGTTTGGACAGGTGCCTCAAACCCCGCACGGTGGCCCTGCTGCGACGACCGCAGAGGTCCATCGCGACCCGAGCCATGCGAGCATACCGCACGGTCAGCCACGGCGCCGCCTGCGTACTCGTCGGTTCGTAGCCAGGGGGCAGGGTGAAAGATTTGCCTCAACAGAGCTGCGGCAGATCCGTTTCATCGCGCAGGCAGAGGCCTTGCGGCGATGGGATGAGGCACTCGCCCATGTAAGCGCCGGCCACCGGACGATTGAGGCCATTCGTCCGGTGTTGGAGGAGTGGATGGGTCCCCGGCGCGGCGGCCTCTCGTTCCGCATGGTGCAGGTACTGACTGGACACGGGTGCTTCGGTCACTACCTGTACCGTGTCGCCCGTCGGGAGGAAACGCCGCAATGCCACCACTGCGGCACCCGGGACGATACGGCCGAGCTCACCTTGTTGGAGTGCTCGGCCTGGCGACAGCTGCGTCGCGACCTGATCGCGGATGACCTGATAACCCTCTCGCTGCGGAACATGCTAGGGGCCATGCACGGGGAGCGGTACGGTGGGCACAAGACCGCGTACACAGCCCCCACGCGCGGTCCATCCTGCGCACGTCAGCGGGGTTCCCACGATATCCCGGGAGACCCCTGCCATGGAGCCCCGGCTAGGCCGGGAGTCTACTGGGTGCGGAAACGCGGAAGAATCCTTAAATGGGGATCCGCGGCTTCGCACTAAGCAGCTGAGAGGGTATTCGCAGGGTGCGCAGGCAAAAAAAGGTGGGGTGGAGCCAGCCAGCCTACCTAGCTTTAAAAACAACCCTCGGACTTAGATAAGGAGCTTATTATCAAGAGACAGTTGAGATTTACTTCCCACAAGCCCAAAAAAAATCCTGAGTCCGTGGCTTATTTTTTTTCTTTTAAGCGAAGATACGAGTATATGTCGATTTTGGAATACCAAACCTAAAATAACGTTTGACAACAGTATATCCTTATCATTCTCTGTACAGAATGAAAAAAAGAGACTGATGTTAAATTTAGTTTTATGTTTAGAGAATTATGCCATAATCGACACCAGTTTGTCTCTGCCACTTTAAGCGCCGCTCTAAATGCAAAATGCATGTCTAGGTATCGCACGCATTCTGCACGGGATATTTCGACATATTTTGCAGTGAATAAAATAGTTGGAAAAGCTCCTCGGGCAACAAAGGCTACCCAATCAAATAAGAAGCGCCGGCGCAGCATTAGCACTACTGACGTGACTTGGCTTATTGATTTTTATCCAAATTTACATAGCACTGTGATCGCTATGTAAATTCACATCGTCACGTGACTATCATGACTCGCATTGACTTACCGCTTTAGTGAACAGTGTTTACTTACTAATTCTTGGCACGATGAACCATTATAAATACAGATCCACTGTACCTATTTTTACTGAGGTACAGACTAGACTCCAAATCCTCGTGCATAATTTGTAATACCATGAAGGAAGATCTTCTATCTAAAGCTATATACCATTATCTTATATAGTTATCTAGATTTTTAAGAGTAATGAAATGCACCACCTAATTTATGGACTAACCTACGTTAGCCGTGAGAACTCCAGCCATCAGCATAGATATGACCGACCCGAGAGAAGTTCCCGCGTAAACCAGGGCTGCCATTACGCTGCGCTCTGCTGGCGGCGCCCATTTTGACAGCAACACGTGCATAGCGGGGAATGTTACGCCCTTGAATAAAAAAAAATATGAACCCCTAAAAAAATATTGGAAACTTAATGGATCAGAATTTCTATACATGGCAAAAGTTGACAAAATAATCTTAAATTTTACTGCAGCTCTCCCTTACTGACTTTTGTATAGGTTCTACAAAACCAAGGTGCCCTAGATTTGGGAAACCGATATGGCACAACTTTTCAATAAACATGCGCTTTTATCAGCATAATCTAAATTGAAATTTTAATTTCGTCCTTCAGTTGATAGGTGATATTTCTTGTAAATTTTCATTATATAATCTAGCTATCGGCACTAGACATTGATAGCTGAGCTAACTTTGTTTTTACACTTTTTGTACACAAAACAGTAATCTTATCGTTCACAGTTTAGTATTGCACCGTTCTCAATAAATATTCCTAGTACTTAGATAATAAACAGGTATTACATTGTTATTAATACAAAGATTAGATCAAGTTATCAGACAGGATAGCAGTAGCAGATTTGACTGCTACTGCTATCCTGTCTGATAACTTATGACTAAAATATAATATAACATAACAACAATAGAAAGGACGACTACACTATTGAATTAGGTATATACCTGTTATAATGGTGTATTGTATTTTGAATAAATAAATAAAAATAAATAAATAAATAAAACATTTTCTTCCAACTAAATCTAACGTAGTCCTCGGGGCCAAGTGCCCGGAGGGTCAATTGGCAAGCACGTCTAAATCAGGGATCATTGCGAATTACGAGTTAATAATAATAACAAACTGGTTATAATTTTTTTTAAGCATGTAACTGCTTGATGTTTAAATCTAAAGAAAATATAAGTCAGTGCATTCGCCCGGATATCCCGTCTGCTGTCTGGTCCGCGTGGATTTTTTTCTAGTTATATTTGCTTTTGATTTAAACACACTGGTTGCTTTAATAGGTCGTAGGTAGGTATATACTGAAGTCCACAACTGTTCGTTTCCAGAGATATTTTATTCCACTGACAATAAAATTATGGAAGTAGTTCCCCTCCACGGTCGGTGATACTTCAGTACTATAACATGGACCTCTTCAAGAGAAGCTTAAAAAGAGTGTTCCACGAAAGCTGTCTACGCTGATCACTTAACATCAGATGGCCCGTCCGCTTGTCTACCTTCGAAGGCAATAAAAGAAATAGGTCCATTAAAAAGTAGGTCGTGGTCGGTGCTATACTTACTCCACCGATACCCTCCCCGATCCTCATGAAGATGACGGCGACATAATGCACCTGCGCCATCACCGGTGTGAGCAGAGTGCACACCACGTTGATGCCCACACTGAAGAACATCACATATTTAGCCGAGAACAGCTCTGCTACTCGGGCGCCTGGTGGTCAGAGAATCGATGTTCTGTTTTTGTCCAAAGCTTCTCCCACACGTGCGCGACGAAGCTTCGAGTGGCTTAAATGCGCTTAAATTAGAGTTCGAAATTTGAATTATGTGGATGACTTTCGTCACGCAGGTGTGGGATAATCATAAAAGTGAGAGAATCAAAGCTTTTACATCGGATTCGGAAATGGTACAGGGGACAGGGGATTTGAAGCCAGGACAAGAGGACAGCGCTGTTAAAAAAATCACGAAATATACCCGATTCTTTATGGATAAAGACAAGTGAAGTGAAAAACAAGAACATAACGTACATGTCAAGTTATCAAAAACTATCAGATTTCTCGGAATTACTGAGCTTTATCTTACTCGTAGTTACTTACTTGACCAAATATTCGTAAGACATTTCTGATAACTTGATGTTCATTTGAAAACCTTTATCCTATATCCGACTTAGTGTTGCCCAAATGCAAGAACAAGACGAGACTTAGCAAGTCTTGGTCTTGGTCTTGCGCCAATACACCTGGTCTTGCGCTCCCAGTCTTGGTCTTAGTCTTGCAAGTCTTGCAAGTACCTATTAGACTATTGCTATTTATTAAAGTTTACTTTAGATCTTAGAAAAACGTATTAGAATTAGAACATTGTGAGCTTGAATTAACATAGCCATAGTAAAGACCAATCATAATCCCATATAATCAATATTATAATATATACTTACTAGAATAAATTATTATGACATCTACTACCTATCCTTACCATTATCTAATCATAATACTACTTGCATGATCAGTATAATGCATTCGTTTCCATTCTAAGCACTCTGAAACTTATTTATTCTTTGGAACACCAGTAATCTAAAATTCGAAAATCGAAGTTCGTGTCGTCGTACCGTCTCGCTCGCTCATATATTAAATAGTATTAGCGTGAGTGGGACGGCACGACACGAAATTAGAATTTTGCATGAGTATACCTAGGCCCTGTGGCGGCAATCAAATAATGTCAAATGTTGTGATTTCGGCGCGGCGGCAACGATTGTTGTATGTGATTTCAATAGAAGCCGCCGGCGCGTGTATCATCACCATGTACTTCCGAAAAACTTACTACGTACTTCTTTGAGAAGTCAATACAAAACCTTGATGCCGCATTATCAAAGTGCCGATGGTTAAAACAAAACTATGCATGCACTCTGTTTGATTTTAATTGATATTTTTTTATTCGCTATGTATGTTTATGGTATTGGTCGTAATGCGCATAGATCCAGTTTTTCATATCCTTTGATACAGTTTTTTGCGTCTCATAGAATTCACAAGCGTACCTATACACCGAACTGTTATACCTAACTACTCCGTGAAATAGCGCTAAGTCCTAGCTGCAAGACGCAAGAGTCTTGCCGGATTAGTCTTGTTCTTGCTCAAGTCTTGCACGGTCAGTCTTGGTCTTGGTCTTGCTAAAAATACACGGTCTTGTTCTTGGTCTTAGTCTTGCAAAAATGCAAGAACAAGACCAAGACTGAATTTGGGCAACACTAATCCGACTGGTGCTGAAGAAGTCGCAGGTTCGGCTAGTTGATTTAAACGCTCAGTTTTGTATTATTTATATCGATCTGGCTAAGAGGAACAGTTGATGATGTATGTATTGACATAGTGTTAATTGATAACTTAATAAACGCGATACAAGTAAAAGCAAATTAAAAAGAAGTGCATCAGTTACAAAATTTGATACTTACCAGGCATTTGAGACACGAAATAGCCCCAGAAGTAACAACTCAACACGAGGCCTTGCACCTCCGTGGGCCATATGAATGGGCCGTCTAACTCGGCTGCCTGAGGTAAATAAATAGTATGTTTAGTAGAAGAATTTCCAGCCGCTTTTAGGTGATAAATCACGATAGTAAGATATGTGTTAAAACACACATAAAAATAGAGCGCTAGTGTCTACCGGCACCATAATTTTACACCATACACCATCAAAACGAATATTTGGCGATGGATCCGTCCCTTGCGTGTTGCCATTGAATTTAGGTTTTTTTTATTATTTTTGTATTAACATGATTAAATACCTACTTGCAGTCGCAGTCAACACACGACTCCGATTATTAGCACAAAATAGTATTATTAAGCACTCCAAAAGATAAGCGTCTTAGCGTTTTTTTTCTATCTAATTAGGTCCAAGTGGCTTACCTCGGCAACCTAGCCCATATTCCACTTGCTATATTTAACATTAAAAAGATCATATAAATTACTATGAACAAGCAGGTAGGAACCTAATACTTAATGTTCGGTAGAAAAAAATTAGAACTTTTATAAAAAACTGTCAGAAAGAGCTTCTTGCGACATTTCTTCTACAACCCATTTACCTACCCAAATCACGATGTCTCATAGTGATTGGTTCCAAGGTACGAATTTTATATTAATAGTGTGATGATGATAAATTCACGAATAGATGCTTGTCGATTGTTTTAATGGGCTCTATTTGCACAAGGTCACCTTCATCAAATCGTTCGGTGTGAAAAAATTACGAAGACTGAAAATAATTTCGGACTGTGTAATTATTAGAATTACTTTAAACACTACCCCACCAACAGTTAATTATGTGGCCACCGTTTAGAGGCGTCCCTGTTTGAAGATCATCGTCTGTAGCGTGTAACAACCCAAGGTTATTTCGATTTTGGACCGGCAATAAAACTATAATTATAGTGCGTGAGATAGCTGGGTTCTGTTACAATCTCATTAGGTAGGTAGTTATAGCAAAAATTTCAGACACTTAAGTGTTTAGGAAATAAACCTGCCTAATAAAAAGGTAGATCACATGATTCTTAAATTAAGCCAAGGAAAAGAATCGGGATAAAGATCCTTAATTACACCATAGGATGCGGAAAATTATAGAATTCTGAAATATTTCAGCAGACAACTATCCACAAACGACCAGTATCAACACTGAATCATCTTTATTTGTCATTTGCTTTGCAACTGTTGTTGCATCAGGAGCTAGTCACTATAAAAAATATAGTAAGGATGATACCCAAACGGATGCAAGAATAAACTTTACGTAGGTACGTACTATAACAAATAATATTAAAAAAAAAATAAGTATTCAAATGTAGATTTTGGATGTGAGAGGAAGTCCCTCGACTCAGTGTCACGCATCGAATGTTCGATTAAATTTATCCAAACCACAGATCCGAACACAAAAGGTTAATTAACTAGTACGTCGTCACATCCTTTTTCAAACTATCCGTTCATTAGCATTAAGTTATAATTGACAAAAGCGAAATGTCCGAACCACAAATTCATTGCTTTATGACTGCTAAACGAAATCAATGTGGAACTAGCTTTTAAAAAAAATTGCCACCTTATCCCTAATTTGCTAATTTAATAAACTTGTCTTAAGAGAGGTTTAATATAATATGGTAACTATTAACTTAGAATCGTAAAAAAACACCTTATTATTTTGATAGCCGTTGATTCGACTAAATGAATCACGGCCCGGGGCGTCTCATTACAATAATGGAACAACAGACGCGTCTAAATTTGCTGGCGACAATAACTACATCGATGGTAAATAGCTATTGGGAACAATTTCATAAAATCATCATCCGACTGTCTGCCTTCATTCGTTTTATTGATATTATTTATGTCATAATTGATCTAAAAGGGTTTTTAATTGAACACTAAGTTCGCAGCCCAGGCCTGTGCTGTGAGCTGTGACTGTGACACATCATACAAATACATACTGCTTTTAGTACATTTTTCTTTTATTATATAGTAGCAAGAACTGTAAAAGCAATTATAAAGCGCAGGTACTCCATAAGTTTTGTAGGAGAAAAATAAGTAAGTACCTACTTCCATTTTATTGTTAAGCTAATAAATTTCGGAAACTAAGCTAAGAAATTTTTGAAGGAGTTCAACCCAGACAGCGCCAAAGGTCCATCGCAGACTTCTATTATATGCGTTCACGCACCACGCGCGGACCGCATCGGCAAGTGGATGGACTACCTACTCGCTAACCACCGAGTCAGTGGTCAGTGGCACGTTGCATAAACATAAGATCGTATTTCAGATTCAGTAGACCATAATAGGTTCCAACATATCCACAACAATGGATCTCACTAAATTTTATTTGCTCATCGCAACAGAGCAGAATTTGGTAGCAAACTTTGCCAACGAAATTTGTAGTTCTATTCTATATCCGGTACTCTAGTAATCCATAATAGGAACCTTACAATGCTTTGTTTGGAACCAGGCTAATTAGTTAGTGTTAGAAATATTTGAATATTTACTTTATTAATGTAAGTACAATTACCGTATTGTTACCCCCAGTTCCTTCACATTCCACCTCTACCACAGGTTTCGGCGTAGTGTAGTTTTGGCCATGGTGTTTGTTATGTTCGTCGGCTGCCGCTTGTAGTCTGATGGCGGTGTGGTTCATCATGCCCACCATGGCCACGGACAGGTTCACCTTCAGCCCGTACACGATGGCCATGCCGATGGAGCCCAACACCGCCAAGATGTAGCGTGCCGGCACCACGCCTAAGTACAAATATAAGAATAACAATTTAAAGTTTCTAGAAAAAACAGTCTTTCCAGGCAACAGGCAGGATCCGAAGAGACCTTTCGCGATCCCAGCGGAACCTGGCTTTAAGAGTTTAATGCTTAATATAACAATGCAATAAAAAAGTATTATAGATAATAGAATTAAGAGTAATTCGTAGTTGAGAAACGAGAGAACGTCGGGTTTGGCGACGTCTGCACCATCTAGGAAGTCCCAGTCGGCCTATTCGCAATAAATACCTATATTGAATTGAATTCTTAGTTTTTAGAGTTATTTTCTTTTCTTTTCCAAATTTTTACATTTCTATTCATTCTTTTAAGCTGTAACGTTACAACTGGTAATGTTATCCAGTTTGGTCGGTGCATAACATGAGCTTTCTACTTGTTCTTGATGATGATGAACTTTGCTTGCGCTATGTTTTACCCTACGACGATTTTACGTACCTTAGTAGGTACCTAACTGAAAATCGTCGTTTTACTAAAACATTTAAGGATATCCCAACACAAACTGCTGATGTGACCAAATAAAACCGTCTACTATAAAAATAATAATTAAAAAGATCAAAAACTCTCTACTGCCCTGCCGGAAAATGAACTAAAAGTAAAAATAATTTATTAATATACTAATAATACTAACATAGGATAAGGTTAACATTGTTACTGACTTGTACTAATAATTCTATGGATGTTTATCTGAAATAAATGATTATTATTATAAAAAATGTGTTCAGAAAGTCGCTACAGTCGGGGGTCATGTTTTTAATGTTTGAGATGGATTTATTTTTGATTGGGTAAGAATTTATTTGCAAGATCATTTTTTTCTTAATAAAAAAGCTCTTATTTACTTAAACACCTGTAAGTAATCTTTTTAGCTCATATCACAATTAGATACCTCATATTACAGAATCTGAGACAATGACATGCTGTATATTCCCGATACGCATTGCTATATTATGGATGACAGCACGTATGACGCACTGTGTACCTGCGGCATACCGGCCACCTAACATCCCGAGGACTATAGTTTCAGAACGAAGATCTAAACTTATGACTCGCGCGACGTGGGCATTTGAACGAGTCTTCGATTGGGGAACTCTGAACCTTGTTTCGTTCTTTATAACAAGAATCAAGTTTGTGTATTCTCTGCGATAAAGTTCCATATGATAAGAACGATAAGAAGCTGTTAAACTACTGACCGACTTCGATAATTTAGGTTTCAATTCAATCGATTCGTTTGTTATGGTTCGGGTAACATAGGATATATTTGATAAGAGCATAAATCAATATACGAATATTGGATGTTATATTCAAATAAGTGGTGTTGCAAAAATGATGAATAGCAATCTTATTGAGTGATAAGACGACAGATCAGAATCTTAAGCGAACGGGGATCTCAAACGAAAGAAATAAAAACCAGTTAACAAACTAATTTTAAAGAATACCTAGTTGGATTAGGTTTTTAAACTTAAATTAAAAAAAAACATTCAGTTCAATTTATTAATAGCTTAACAATCACCTACAATAAACCACAAATATTCTACGACTCTACGTCTGTGCTTATATTAGCGGACGCTGAACGCCTCGGCTTAGCACGGGTCAAGTTTATTTTAACGTGATAAAATAGAGTGATTTAAGAGGCAGGTAGTGCAAAGCGGATTTGCCGCTCGAATCATAGCTCCGGTCTGGGGAGGTAACTTCTACCTTTCAGAAAACCGCAGTAGAATAACACTACCATTTGGTAGTGTAGTGTTGTGTTCTGTAGATAAGGAAGGTTCCAGGGCTCCACGAGGTAGGGAATAGGGTCCGGGTAGGCAATGGCGCGAATTACATTTTTTGTATCGCAAGCGTTTTTAAAGACTATGTGAAAATGTGAAGGCCGCTTACTATCAGGCTTGCCATATGCTTGCTTGCCACCCTTTTAATATAAAAAAAACCTATGTCACAAATATTCAGCAATAATGTAACATCGTCATAGTGATGAAAGACATTTTTAAAATAGATTAGTAATTTTTGAGTAAATTCGTTATAAACATACAAAAATACAAATCTTTCCTCATTACAATATTAATATAAATAATTGAAATGAATCAACTGCAAGAACGTATTTTCCTTTGTCTGCAATATTATTGAACTTTGGTATTGTACCTATGAATTTTATTTATTAAATATACATTGTGGCCAGTGTAACAGTACCTATAAATAAATCTATTAATTCCTTGGAAGGGATTAAGCAATAAATAGTTAAATTAGACTTTCGATTTGATCATCCATCCTACCTATTCTTAAATAAGTAAATTCTTTCCATATCCGTTGCGACATCTGACGACTGCGACATCTCCAGACGTGTAAAAACTTAGTTAAGAGCAAACATGTTAAAATAGAGACCGACAAGTTTAGTAGCTCTTCTAAATATTCGTCCAGTTGCAAGGACAAAGATTTGTAGAAGTGATATGAAAACGATGCAAGTAAGATGAATGGGCACCGCGTCCCGTTAGGAATTGACCGGGGTGGAAAGAAGAAGGAATGAATAGGCGAAAGTTGCGAATGAGAGATAGGATAGGAAAATAAGTTTAGTATGGGATCCTTGCTGAGATTCAGTGTAACGTGATTGCCACTCTTCCAGTACCCTGGTGCGAGAGATTGTTTTGGAGTGCATCTAAGGCGGATCGAGAATCGGACAGAATTAATGTGTCTCAGTATTCCCTTCCAGCGGCATATTCACAAGCTCTAAAGATGGTGTCAAGCTCGGCTTGGTAAACCGAACATAAGTTATGCAATTTGAGCTTGAGATTAGTGATTGGAGACGGAGAGTCTAGATCTACGCATACAATGGCTGCGCCCACGGGGCCGTCGTCCAATTTGCTACGATCCGTAAAAAATTGGATTGTGTTTAGGAGACATACTTCGTCGATATTTTGCTGGTCATTTAACTATTGCGTAATTGATTGAGACTTGGCAAGCAGGGTGTAATAGCTTGCCAACCGGGACAGGAGCCTCCCAGTGTACATCGTCAGGCAGGTAATGAGAGACATGAGTTACTACACTGTTCAATTTCATGCATACGTAGAACCTCGAGGTCTAAGAGTGGAAATTGAGCCAGAGCTAAAGAAGCAGTTGTTGACACAGTGCGGTAGTCCCTGATAGCACGTAGTGCAAACCTGCAATAAAGATGCTAATTTAATTTTATTAAGTAGACGCGTTGCTTGGCCCCAGATCCCAGCAGCATAGGTCACTGTAGGCACAATCAGATAATGGTAAATGGCTGCTATATTTTCTGGGAAGTCGCACTTGCAATATTTTATGGGAGGCCCCATGACGGCCTGGTGAATAGTCTTTGTGCCTTGGAAATTATGTGTTCGACGTGTTTGTTGAATCGTAGGCAATTATTTAACACAACCCCCAGAATGGTAATCTCCGAGCAAAAAGGATGGGTTTTGCATTATATCATCATTTTGTTTCTTTCTTTCTAAAACCTACATCAACAACTCAAAAAAGTAATGACAAATTATGTATTAATTACTTGAGTAAATAGTTGGTTTAATCACCCTTTTAACTTTCTTCCTATAAAACTTTCCGTAAGATAAGAATTTTAACAAAAAAAGTTTGATGTAATCCAGGCGTAATAATTTCTAATCTAAGAAACTATTAAGGTACCTACTCTCTCGATAAGTAGTAAGTACTAAGCTATTTTAACTTGCAACTAACTTGATAAAACTTTGGTGTACTTATTAAGAATGAAGGTATCTGCTTTGATTATAATCAAAGGGTTTCTGTTAAACTTGCTATTGCAAGAGATTGGCACACATATAGCAATTCGCGATACCTTTACAGTATTTTCGAGGACCACGGGATCACTATTATGAAATGTAACAAATCTACTTCTGGTTCGTTTACTTTATCTCGATAAGGAATTTGGTCCCACGTGGTTTCATGGTATGCAAAATGTAATGTTGGAACTGGAAGTTGGCGAAGGAGGTCTGTATGTAATAAAATTACGCAACCCGGGTCCGGTTGTTTAGTTCATCTTGACAAGTAGGCTAGGGTACCTTTATATGTAGGTATAATGTACATAAATACAATCTTGCAAATTAATAAGATACTTTTCAATAATCTGAATAATTTGCAAGAGCGAGTTCCCTTGAAGCGATAACATTTGAATATTCAACTATAAATCAAGCTTTGCTTATCACACGAAATTTAATAATCCGTTAGCGAAATCGAATCATGTCGTGTCGACATTATATAAATAAAATCACCTGTGCACACTGCGCTTTAAATTGAAGTAAATAAAGTAGTCGGTCAATGGAGCAAATATATGTAACAGTAGTTAGGGAGGTAGGTATTATTATGTAGGTACCAGTTTTGGCATAACTTATTCTATTCCAAAACCAAGTTTTAGATACTTAAATCCTACATGCGAAGATATAGTTTATTACTTTGATTTAATACGGTATAATCAATCGGACATATGCTATTGTAGAAATTGTATCAGAAGGAATACAGTACATAAAATAAGAAAGAAAGAATATCCCAATTTAACATACACTTGAAGAAGTTGGTGACCGGGCACTTGTAAGCCTTTGAATCTTTTAATTTGGTAGTTTTTTTTTTACGTAGTGGTTCCCCTCCCCTTACCCCCTCATTGTTAAACATATGTTATACAGTGTTTTATTCATATCACTGAAATGCCATATGTAACTAATCAAAGCTTATTCTTCGTTTATTAATAAGGGGGTAAAAGTTTTAACTTCGTTCCAACAGAGTGTTCCACGACACTCATTTTTATTTAATATGTTATGTGACACAAACTTGTGAAACAAAAAGATGATGAAATTAACGGTAATACCATTAATACCAAGTCGCATAGACCAGTAAGTTATACCTATGTTTATAAGTATCTAAGGCATATTAGACCTATTAGTGACCGACCGATAGGTGGGGATTACACCATGAATCTATATCGAAATTAGTTTAGACACCATGTTATAATATAGGACTGCGAAAACCACTTTTTTTTTCGTTTGGACATTTTTTGTATAGATGGTGCCATTGGGGGTATTAGTGATGCCGCAGGAAAATCTTAGGTCCATGGGCCCTGCATTCTTTTCTGTAGCTTTGCTGTTTTATTTTTATTGAAACTAGCACGTGGCGCAATAGTGACCTAGACCAGACGCTCTAGATACTTTTCTAAGGAGCTTTAATTGATGGCCTAAAGATGCAATATATTTTCGTCAATTGCGAACCATGGTCAATCTGAATTAATTCCTAGATACTGTCTGCCTTATTAATATAAAAACTTGTTTAAAGAGTCATGCAGTAACTTTTAGGTAATCTCCAACGATACCAATAGGGAAGATGCAATATTTTTATTTTTGTTTTCATTTTAAAGAATTCCATGTAGAATAAATCACAGATATATTAAAAAATTAAAACATTGTGATTTATCGGAAAAAATGCGGTTTTAAATTGACCATTTAAATTTTCGCGCGAAAACGAACCTATGGTTGCGATGACGTCACTCCTGTCTGTCACTGGTCGTAATTGTTTGTTGCTGGCTTTAAATTTTCATACTTTTGCATATTTTTTCGACTTTCGAAATATTTTTTTGAAAAATTTAAAATGGACTGAATGAATCAACATCATGTGATCATAACAATACCACTAATATTCCGAAAAAAAGCCGTGTTGACCTATGTTTTGTGCCAATCTACTTCAACAAAGTCCCAAATAAATTGTTTTTGACTGGAACTTCTGACCCAAAACTGAAAAAAAGTGGTTTCAAGCTGCGAAGAGAAATGACAATTATTCTCCAAAGACCTTTATTCGATGCTGAGAAGATCACTTTGATGTAAGTCGGCGTATATACTTGTTATATGCTTAATTAATCTGCTTGTACGTAAAAACGCATTAGTAACCTACCTAATACTTACAAAACCTATCTATAACATATTTTTAATTTTACAGTTGGAGAATGACGTCGAAAATTAGATAAAGTTTAAAATGTGTGGCACAATCTTCACATTGGCAGGACTGAACCAAGCTTTGCGTTTCATTTAAAATAACTGTAACACGATAACCTTCTTTACGTACTTTATGCTCCGGAGAACTCGACCTTTTACTGTACATAATTTTCCATCTCTTTTAATTTGGACATAGCCGATTGCATTATCGCCGTAAGATTTGTAGAAGCCGCTGAATAAAATACGAAGTTTAACAACTACGATTTTTACATACCGTAGTAACTTAGTCCCTTTCATTTCTACACTTAAAAACTCTGCACTTTGGACAAAAAAGTTATAACCATGTCAACGCTAACTCTTGGTAAATTCCTGGAGTCTGCTTTGATAAACGCAACTTCCATTTTTATTAAATGTAAAAAAACGCAATAAATATTCCCATAAAATAATATTTACTTTAACAACCATAACCTCAAAGAAGTTTTCATAACAGGAGTGACGTCACTAAACGCTGATTGGTGTTTTAAAATACGTTCCGTTTCAAGTATTTTTAATTCGTAATAATTGTTAAAAAACAACATTATGTAAAATAAAAACGTTGCAGTGACATTTCTTTTATATTTTTTTAACATTTTAATCATAAAATTTTCATAAATATTATATATGCATCTTCCCTATTTTGCGAATTGATTCCCTGTGGAGGCTTATTTTGTCCGATGGATGGATTCCCAAATTTTTTCTCGTAGACCGTTTTCTTAATTTTACTGGTTTGACTAAACCCCCTGCTACATTCTACTATATTTCCAGAATTCGTTAAAAATTGTGGAAAAAATTGATCTAATTATGGAAATTTTCGTCGCGGCTAAAACCCCAGGGGGTCCATCTTACTACGGACTATAGACTACTTAGGGAATCGCTAGGAGCATTGCCACAGTCATTAGATAGGTAGGTAGACTTTTTGTTTATTATTATATACCTACTCATTTGTCATTGTTTAACAAATGACTAAACGGTATTGGTATTTAAAGAAACTCAAATGATGATGCGCGTGATTTGACAATCCACTCAAATTCAAGCCTAACATAATAAAACTGGTATAGTAAATATATACTCCAAACAAATTTTTGATAATAACTTTTAAAATGTCGATACTATAGACCTACAGACTGATGAAGCTGCTAATGATAGGGATGATAACAGCTACCTTTTAGACATTATATTGAATTTATCCTTCTGAAAATAGCTGGGTTTAGGTTAATGCCCTTTCAAGGTCACATATGTTTAAAGAATGTACTTTATGTAACTCAACATTGAAACCCCGGCATTTAATTGCGTCCTCTTTTTAAAGACTATTTTAAAAATTCAATATTTGTACCGTGCCTTATCGTTACTAATAAAATGTCTGAAGACTTCCTGAACATCGCATTTTATTTTATTTTTAAATACCGTATTCTAATAACCGCTTTAAATAAATAACTAAGTAAATATACTACTGTCACATATTTTAAAGGTAAGTTTAGTTACTTTCAATATTCAACTTAAATATTACGCATGCAAACATTTATTAATGAATAGAAAATATTTACACCGGCCGGCGGCGCCGAGTTAACAAAATAATTTCTTACAATTATATTAAGAAACACTTACGGCCCAATACATTGCCTCTCGCCGGCACATCCATTTTCCGATGAATATCACAAATTACAAAACGTAAACTTAAAACACTTCGATATTCATTGAAGTTTAATTTATCACTGGCGCGCGAATTGTAAAATTGATGATTAGAATACTGCGTCCGTTCGTTCACACTACTACAACATGAGTGCACGAATAGTGTTGAAACTGTGTTGAAATATGCGGCATGTGTGTGTCGGAGACTCGAAACACCGTTTAATTTTTAACGTGCGTTTAAACACGTATATATCGGAGAGCAGCCGCGGCGCGTAGCTTCCTCAGTCAACCTATTTGAGCTTTCGCGCTTTTTCAAGGTGACCTTCAGAAGGAGAGATCGATGAAACCGTCAACCATTTTCCGAAAACTTGCGCAATAGGTAAGAATACTTAAGATATGCCGGAACAATTCAACAAATATTATACAAGTGTATAATACAGCAAATATTTAAATTAACACAAAATTTCAATCGAAAACACAGAATGTGTTCTTGAATTGCAAATGCAAATAGAAGGACCATTTCAAACTTTGAGTACCTAGTTAATAGATATACTCAAACATTTCAAAGCAAGTTACAATGAGGAAAAAAGTTAATCGGAAGTCAAAACATTTAAGTCGTATGATGATTCCTAATTCTAATCTAACATTTCGTATTTATAGTGGTATCATTCGCGGTGACGTAGTTCTACTGAAACCCTATCTATTAGTTAAGTCTGATTATATAACCTTTAAAATGTTGGCATTAATCATTATCATACTAGGTAAGCTAATTGATTATTCGTAGACTGCCATGCTGAAATGAATGCAAAAGAATGAAGAAGTGCTGATGAAATTAAAAGTCAACGGACAGAAAAGTTTTGAAAATATTGCATGTACTGGCTGACATCTTAGTAAAGATAATTTTCATGTTTCATGATTGAGATTGAATGAATCCTTAAATATACACACGTAAGATACCTATACGTAGATACGGATAATTAAATTTTACATACAACATACTTTATGGATAGAAGTGGCTGGAGCCCTAAATATTTTTTTGTTATCTACCCTCTACCACCACCTTTATCTGCGTGACTACAGGCGGAATTATACTTGGTCTTAATATTCGTGCTAGGTTTTGCCAACCCCTCCATGTCATAAGCTATGCCAAAAAACCCCTTGTTACCACCAATCTTACTACCAATAGCTTAGAGCAATGCAATGCTCTAATAGCTCCCGGAGACGATCTGACCAAGTCGACTTGTCAAGTTTACGTAATTGAAGCGAATATTGATTTCGGTTCCGTATCCAAAGGGTAAAAATAAGAAAGACCCTATTAAATCTAGCAGTTGAATGCTTAAAACAAAAAACATAAGACCCTATTACTAAGATTTCACTGTCCGCCTGGCAACAAACGATATTTTTTGCTCGATATTATAATATAATGCCAAATTTTGTATATATAATAAAGGACCCTTCGTACGTGAAGCTGACTCGCACTTCACTGTTTTTGCCAGGATGTTCGTTCATATCGCAGCATAGTTGGTAGACGACGACGTAGCGTGCGCATTTAATGGCACCATCAATGGGCGTCAAGTCGCTCATCAAATAAAACCTTTACAAGTCGAAATGATCGTCTCCGGGACCTATAAGAACAATAGCAACACCGTTAATTTTATTCCCTTCTTACTAATTCATACTGGAGTAGTAAGAAGGGCAATAAAAATTACCACTCCAGTGGTGTCGATTCTGGCATGATTCTCTATATATTTTTCTAGTTATATTTTCTTTAGATTTAAACATCAAACAGTTACATGCTTTAAAATAATAAAAATTATAAATATTAAAATTATATTCTCTATACTTAAAACTAAATTTAACATCAGTCTATCCTTTTCATTCTGTATAGTGATTCACAAAGTTACACTGTTGTTAAATTTAAGTTTAGGTTTAGAAAATCATGTCAGAATCGACACCAGTATAAATATTATTTCAAAATATATGTTATTCCGGTCAATTAGTGGACATGGGAACTTTATTGTAGTGTTGACTACCTCATAAAAGCTTATCGAGAAAGCTGACTCGATTTTAATTCCAAAAACTCCAAGAAACAATAAAATGCGTCACCTCATCCTACTGTAGAAAAAAAAGATTAATGAAAAAATAAGACTGACTGCATGGCTTTGCCTTTCCCAGGAAAAAAATATAAAAAAGGAAATGTTTAAAAAAAAGGGATTTTTTGGCGGGATTTCATCGAGTGCGGTTGGCGTCTTATTTTAATTATTCTTAAATGTGTTCATAGTGGATATTGTGAAATAAAATTGTTGTGATTTTGTGTTACAACCGTCTGCGCCACTGAAGAATTAGTAGAATCGTCAAAATATACGCTATTCCGGTCAAGTGGACGTGAGAACTTTATTGTAGTATTGACTACCTCACAGAAGCTTATCGAAAAAGCCAACTCGATACATTTCGTGCCAAACACTTCAAGAAATATTAGAATGCGTCACACCGACATTCTAATGTAAAAAGAAAAACAGAATAATTTACCTTAAGACTAGGCTGTATGGGCATTGTTCCCCTTGCCTTCCCTGAAAAGGGAGAATTTAACATCAAAAAAAGGTCGGGTGTCAGTTTGACATTGACATATTTTTCAAAAGTTCAAAACTCCGATTCAACTTGTCTTTTCGATTAGGTACTTTAATGAAATAATTACTGTTATACTGAAATCTTCTTTAGGCTGTGTTTAATAATTATATATATGTACGTATTGTCAAGAAATGAATGCTGCAAAACTTATTTTTTTATACCTTTTAAGTAACAGCTGAACAGCTGTAAATGTTTTGTTATTCCACTTCTAGTGTGTGGCCGTTTTCTTATAATCTGTATAAATTCGTTTCGCCTGTGTGGCACTGTACGGTACTCCGTCCGTACAGTACAGAGTGGCACTTCTGTCCGCTATCAGGTCGAGTGTGGTAGGAATTAAAGAAACGAGCATTTATGTCCGTTTTCAATTCACAGGTGAAAGTGGACTTAAATGTTGCTTGCAAATTTATGCCAAAATGTCTCCATTTGCGTGAATGACCCATAAAAAATATCGTCGAATCCTAAACATAGAAGAATTTGTTTAAACAAACATTTATTTGGTGATGTGAAGTTCCAATAGTGCTTGTAACTTTAAGCTTAAAGTAAAAATGGCCTTAAAAGTTGAAGAAAAGAATAATTATGATTTTATTCTCAAGAGCTTGTTGGCTGGGGGTAAGTATTTTAAATATTATTTCAATACATCGTTCAATAATGATTGTTACAAATTAGATGTGAGTAATAGTCATACTATGAATATTTTTCAGATTATTTACTGAAGTACTTACTTGCTATATGACATCCCTTTTAATTAACAGCATAAATTTACCTATAAATCAGTGAATTATCTAATAGAAATAATACCATTTTATATTTAATAGAAACAAAATAACTTTTATGTTAGCATAAATAACAGGTATTATATTATTGTAACTTTAAATACTAGTAACTATACAAAAATCAATATGGCCCAGATATCAGATTCAGAACCTTTGTTGACTATTATTTCTTCATTTGATTTAAGGAGTTGCTGGTATGTGTGCAAAAACAACAGTTGCCCCTCTGGACCGTATTAAAATTCTACTACAAGCACAGTCTTCACACTATAAGCATCATGGAGTATTTGGTGGTCTGACAGCTATGGTTAAGAAAGAGTCCCTCCTTGCTTTGTACAAGGGAAATGGTGCTCAGATGGTCAGGATTTTCCCCTATGCAGCAACACAATTCACAAGCTTCGAGATTTATAAAAAGGTAAGTTCTATCATATTTTTTTCAATAAAATTAGATGGAAATATGGCAACTTATGAACATACATTTTAAATGTGTCAACTTTAAAAAATATTCTTGCTTATTTAGTAGAAGAATCGATACATATATATACAATTTGTCAATTCAGTATTGAAAAACTGCTTTATATTAATTAATGGCAATGAAGATGCAGTTGGAAATAGCAATTTAAGGTAAGTTAAAGATTATAAATGGCACATTTAATAACGAGTTCAGCAGTTAAAACTAAGCAGTAAAATAAACAAAATTGAGTAATAAAAAATAATGAAATGGAATTAATATATAATTTTAAATGGGCTGTAAAAATATTCATCGAGTGGTTACATGTGGGCAGTAATAAATCGGAATTTGTCAGTAAAAAATCTCATTCTAAGCAATTCTATAAACAATGAGGTGGTAAAATAAAATGACAAAAAAACAGTACTTAAATAGTAATGAAAAATTAAATTTCTTTTACTTTGACTGAAGGAATTAAATAAAACAAATTGTATAATAAGAATAATAGGAACTTTTATTCGTAATTCGAAACATACTTATGTAATTAAAATGACATAGAATTTGCGTAGTAGCAGCTAAAATAAACTTATTGTATAATAAGAGCAGGCCACCCGCGCTAATAAGCTTCGCCCAACTAACATACATTTACCTCTCTTTTCAATGAATTTGAGTTCGGGTGTCACCGCTTGCTATGATCTGCTAAACTATTTATCGAACAGCTCATTCTATCATTTTTACCGCTCATTCAGTTATTGGACTGCTCAATTATTTTTAGAATTGACATTGTATGATAAAATAACTGACTAATTGATTATTTATTACTGTCCATGTTTTACTGTTGCAATAATTAATTACATTAAATTACTGCTCAATATGTTTTTCAACTGATCATAATAACATCTCGAATATTTAAATAACAGCTCAAAAAATTAATTCCTTTAATGAATGTGGTACAGATAAAAGCAATACTTCAGAAATATTTATGTGGACAGTAGCAACACAATTCCTTCCTATCTCTTACTGAAAACTATAATAAAATCCAGTAGTTTAAAAGATCTAAGAGTACATACAGCTAGAGTGTTTTTGTTTTAAACTATGTAAAGATTAAGCAATAATATCAAGAGACAAGAACTACTTAAAAAAAACGGTTGTCTGTAAAGTTAGTTTACTGACGATAGTTGAATGTGACAAGGTTTTTATTTTATTTTAATGATGAAAGCATGAATATTCGACAATATATCACTGAACATATATTTAATATCGAAAGAATCATTACCTTTATCGCCGCAATTATCGTTGCTATAAACATTTGCCACCACATTCACTTTTCACTGCACTTCATACTTGATAAAAACATGTAAATATATTATTGTATAGCAGCTGTCCACGCGGACGCATCGCTCATTCAAGTAGGAGAGAGACAGATGTCGAAGGCTGCCGAACACGGAGGCCGATTGTGCCTTTGTCGCTCGTTGCGCGCTCTCGCTTGCACTTCAAGCCTTAAATGGAACGCCTCAGAGCGAGGTAACGCCGCATGAGTCATGTTTTTTCGTGCGTGCAGCCGGCTCCATCGAATTATAAGACGTTGTCACGTCAAAACTTGCATTATACATATATGGCAATCTGTTTATTGGGACATTACACTGTGACTTTCATATTGTAGCATTTTTTTTTAAACAACAGTAAGGTAGTTTAATCAGTAGAAATTTCACTACAATAATGGTAATAGTTTATGTCTCAAAAAGTGTGTTTTTACAAATGTTACATTATTGAAATATGTATGTAGTACATTTATAAAAATTATCTATCAGCTAAACTTCAAAATCATTATTCACAGACATTTATGGATATTAACTTCTTCAACAATACTATTTACATAACCAGATTTAGGAAAAAAATATTCATTAGTATTTCACCAATTTGGTTGTAGGACTTTCCCTCTGTATCTATCTGTAACCTATACTGATACTTTCAGACTTAATCTTAATATAATCTATTTGTCTATGTAATAATCAATAGATGGTCTTAACTTTTGTTATCATAAGCTCTTTGTACTATATTAGCTGACCCATTTTCTTAGTTCTATTAATGTGTCTTTTTCTTATCTAACAATAGATAAGAAAACATAGACAGCATGATAAGACTATGCTGAAATGAAATTTGATTTTAGAAACTAAATATTTTGATAATTATAAATAATGATTTTTGTAACTATATAACTTAAATACTATGACAGTAGAGAACAACGTCTATTATATAATCTGCTTAGATTAAAACTAAAAGGGAAGATATGGTATGCTCATAATAGCATCAAATAAAATATGCTCCGACTCAATTATATAAGCAACTCTCACACATGAACACTTCTGTAAATAAACATACAATTGAGCGAGCGAGACAGAACTGTACGCTTCAACGCAGCGCGAGTGAAACGGCGACTCCGTCTACAAACGGCTAAAAACAATAAAACTGTATTGTTGTCCTTTTCTTGACAACAAATGGTGAATAAGTAAATAACATTCAGTGATTTATGAGAAAAAAATGTTTTTATAGTTTTATGAATGAAAAGTGCTGTCGTGGAATTAGTTATTTGATCTTGAACTACTTGTGTTCTTTTTAAAAGCATCGAAGGCATTGTTTTATCCTTATAACAGAATATGCTCAATATTGTTATATTGAGTGTACATGCAGCATATTTGGATGCCAAATTGTGACTAAAGTGAATTGTGTTCATGCACCACAATTTAATTGGTTCACTTTGAGCCGCGAGTGCCCTATCTTCTCTATTTGCTTTAATCTAAGATAATCTGTTAACAATGAGGACCCAGTTCCTCTAAAAAATCCCTATAAATAAACACTCGATTAATGATTGTTGGCGAATCTGGCTTAATTCACTAAACTTTAAAGTAAACATCTCTCCTTTTCATTCTCTATAGAGAATGACAAGGATACACTGTTGTCAATTTTAATTTTAGGTTTAGATTCTGACATGATTCTCTAAAGCTAAACTTAAATTTGACAAAAGTGTATCCCTGTCGTTCTCTATACAGAATGAAAAGGACAGACTGATCTTAAATTTATTTTTAAGTTTAGAGAATCCTGCCAGAATCGACACCATTGTCTCCTTTGTAATTTTTTCCGAATAAGAACATTAGGTACTTAAAATTAAAGAAGAGTAAAGTGTAAAATTGTGTAAGTCAACACGTAAGTAGAACCCATACCATAAAAGGTAACCAAAGTAAATAATTGAGCGGCGGCACGGCGGACGTATTGTCAATATTTCTTTTTCGGTACATAGGTATTGGAAATTTGACCGGAATTCGAAACCATACGAACTTGAAACATATCACGGAACCACGGTCAGATCAACAACGTGTTGAGGAAGTGGATCGTAGAAAGGAAAGACAATCAGCTCGTAATATTTAGTTTATGTAGTCCCAATCACATTACATTTTTATAGGTATACACCGTTGACGTATTTGCAAAAGTCCTAGAATGAAGTAACGGTGACATAGAGAACAGGCCATCGAGTCGCGCTAACAAGAAGGTTTTACATAAAATCATAACTTCAACACACCTCCTTGATTTTATAGAAAACAACAAAAACAACTTAATACCAATATAACAACTTAACATAATAAATAAATCACTTAACAAAAGACTATCTGTCATTAACATTTCATTTGACATTTGCTAGTTCTCTAAGTTTTATAAATTTATTTTTTCCTAATGCCTTGGTCAATATATCCGCTAATTGTTTTTCTGTATGAACCTTTACTATATTAATAATACCCTTTTTCTCATAGTCATATACGAAGTGGTAGCTTATGTCAATATGCTTAGAATTTTTACAAAGCTTTCCGTTCTTTGACAACGCAATAGCCCCGCTGTTGTCTTCGTAAATTTTTACTGGATCCCTAATCTCAACGCCTAAATCGCATAACACACCTATTAACGGAAGTACTTCTTCAACACAGTCTGCCAAAGCATAATACTCGGCATGAGTTGATGCTCTTGACACTATTTTCTGTTTATGTGACTTCCACATGATCGGATTATTAAAAACTCTTATAAGGATTCCTGTCGTCGACTTCCTATCCGATTTATCTGCGGCCCAATCAGCATCTACATAAGCGTCCAATTGTTCTTCGTAGTCGGCGTCAAAATTCATCTTTAAATGTCTCGTACAGTAAAGATATTTGAGAACTCGCAAGGCATATTTGAAATGCGTATCACTATAAGCATTTTGGAACCGACTCAAATAGTTTACGCTATAAGATACGTCTGGACGTGTTCCACTCGCAACATACAGAAGAGCTCCAATCAAGTTTCTATACTTTAACGTTGCACTGACATCTTGACTTGGTTCAATGCTTAAATTCATTTCCATTGGTGTCTCAAAGTTCTTTGATTCGATTACGTTATACTTTTCAGCTAAACTTACAATGTATTTTTCCTGGCTTAAAGTCATTCTGCCTTCTTTTGGTTCAAAAACTACATCTATTCCAAGATACTGTTTCACCTTTCCCAGATCTTTCATTCGGAATCTATTGTTCAATAGCCGTTTAACTTCGTCAATTGCCTCATTTTTCTCCCCACAAATCAAAATATCATCCACATACAGACATAGATATATATTTACATTATTTACACACCCTGTATACAAACAATAGTCATAGTCTGACCTATTGAAATTAATGCTTGACATGAATTCGTGAAAGCATTCATACCAATCACGTGGGCTTTCTCGCAATCCATAAAGAGCTTTTTGTAGTTTGCACACTTTATTATTCTCTGTACAATATCCATCAGGTGGGTAAATATAAACTTCAGACTTAATACTCCCATTCAAGAATGCTGTCTCAACGTCCATTTGTTCAATGTTCCATCCTCTTACACATGCAATTGATAATAAAGCTTTCATTGTCGTCATTCGCGCTACTGGTGAACAAATTTCCTCGTTTTCT